GAGTCTTCTGACTCATGTACAAGTGCTATTTCTCCATTTACTTAGTTCTTTAGTTTCTCTCAGCCATATTTTGTAGTCCTCAGTATATAGGTTCACATTTTTTTATTATTATTATTTTATTTTTTTGAGGGAGATTAGCCCTGAGCTAACTGCTGCCAATCCTCCTCTTTTTGCTGAGGAATACTGGCCCTGAGCTAACATCCGTGCCCATCTTCCTCTACTTTATATGTGGGACACCTACCCACAGCATGGCTTGCTAAGCAATGCCATGTCCACACCCGGGATCCGAACCGGCGAACCCGGGGCCGCCGACGCAGAACTCGCGCACTTAACCACTGCGCCACCCGGCTGGCCCCATGTGCTGGATATTTTTGTAATCCTGTAAATCTTTTTGAGCTTTGTTCTGGGACAGTTAAATGACTTGGAAATAGCTTAATCATTTCAGGTCTTGCTCATAAGATTTTTTAGGCAATGCTAGAGCAGTGCTCATTCTAGGCCTAATTATTGGCCACAATTGAGGCAAGACCTTTCTGCATATTCTCCCCAATTCCCTATGATCATCTCCCCAGTGCCGTGGCTGGTGGGAATAGACACTGTTCCCCACTCAGGTGAGCGCCAGGCACTGTCCCCTTCAACCCTCCCTGTGCTCTGACCTGGCCTCTGCTGTTTCCTCACATATTGTGCTGATTCATATTCTGACGAATACCCAAGGGCACCCTCTGCAGATCTCCAGGGCTTTCTTTGCGCAGCTCACTCTGGTCTTCTCTTCTATGAACTCGTATCACCTTGTTCTCCCCAGACTCTCAGCACCACCTCCTCAACTCAGGGACTTCAGTCCCCCTCCCTGTGCTGCAGCCTGAAAACTCTCGAGGTAGTGAGCTGGGCTATCACAGCGCTTACCTGGCTTGTTTCCCGTCTGAGATCCCTGTCCTTTACTGGTCAATGTCCAGAGCCTTGAAAACCACCGTTTCATGTATTTTGTCTGGTTTTTCTGCTTGTTTCAGGTGGGAGGATAATCTGATTCTGTTATTCCATCTTGGCTAAAAGCAGAAGTCTCTACTGCCACCTTTTCTACCTGTAAGATCGCAGGGTCTCTATGAAAGACTGTGTGAGTTCTGCATGTGAAAGGGTCACTCACACAGTAGGCGCTCAATCATTCCCTCACCCTCCAAGGTGAGTCTAAAGGGCCTGACTCCTGGGAAGCTTAGTTGGCAGTGACTTGGCTGGACTTAAGGAACTCTCTAGGTCCAGAAACCTTGCAGTTGGACTTATGCTAGCCCAGAAGTCAGCACCCTCTAACCCTGAGGGCCATCGTGGGGTGGAAGTGCCATCTGGGAGGTCACACAGAAGGGCCGAATTAGGACTGAGCTCCTAGGGATGATGGTCTTAGCTATCTCCTTGGACATTGTGGGCAGACATCCATTTCACTACTAATGCTTGGTCCAAGCAAGTCATGGTACTGTGATCCTCCTCGCTAATGACTGATTCAAGAGTGGACATGTTACCCAGTTCTAGCCAACGAGAGGCAGGCCCTGGAAAGTCTAGAGTGCCTCCTAGGAAAGCTTTCCTCCATTTTAAGGGAGGCCTGGGAAGACACAACTCACCTTCTCTGGAGTTGCCAAAGTGACTCCTGGAGCTACTGCCACCATCTTGGCACCAATCTGAAGATGGAACCAACAGGAAGAGTGACAGATCACAGAAGAAGGCCCAAGTCCTTGAAGACATCATTGAGCCGCTGAATCAAACAGCCCCAAAGCCCATCTCACTTCTGGATATTCACAGAAGGAAAAACATCTCTAAGTCAATTAAAGTTAGAGTTTCTGTTAGATGCAGCCAAAAGCATTATCGCCGAGCTAGCCACCGGGAGGGCTGGAGGTGTTATGTGGAGGGACAGGCACCTTGAAGGGACTTTTTCCTTCTGCTAAGGGATTCCCAGTTCTCCTTTAGATGAGAAACTGGGGCTAAGAGCTGTGAAAAGACTGCCCCAGGCCACACAGTGAGGAATCAGGAGCCTTCCAGCTGATGCCTGCTCCACCTCTGTGCTGTCCCCTTGAGGTCCTGAGTCAGCTCTGATGGTGGGGCCTAGGGGGTGGGGGCTTCAAAGTCCGCCAACCCAAGTCAACCTTTAGTTCTGCTGCTGAGCAAAGACAAGCAGATACCAGAGACTTCCTTGACTTTTTGTGCTGAAATCATGTCCTTGAAAGAAAATATCCAAGTCCCCCAAGCCGTAATCAGGGTGGTTACAGGTAACAGCTATTTGCTATAGTTTCTGGACAGATTTTTCTGATTGAAAAGAACTTGCTCAAAGTTCCTTCCCAGGCCAAGTGAACAGGGCAGACCCCTGAGAGCAGAGGTGAGCAAAACCCTGGGCTCAGAGGCTCTCGTTTGCTCTCCCACGAGAGCAGGAAGCCCCTCCTCACCCTGCCCTCCTCCCTCCACCCTCGGAGCACGTGTAAGCCAGGCGGCCGTCTTTCTGTGGGAGGGACAGAATGGGCCCAGAGACATCGCCTCCATTCCAGAAGCTGCTGGAAAGGGCTGTTTGGGGCCATACAGAGTTCCTATCCCTAGAGAGAGTCTTCCTCTCGCCACCTGGAAGACCCTTCTTAACCTCGAAGGTGTGAAGCAATCAGTCATTTCACCAAGTTTCTGAGACCCCAGCTGTGCGGGTGCTATTCCAGGTGAGCGGTATTCAGGAGTGACTAAAACAAAGTCCCCACGAGCGTAGAGAAAAGGGCAGATGGATAAGTGAATATACAAGATAACGTCAGGTGGTTGTAAGTAGTATAACAAAATCCAAATCAGAGAAGGGGGAGGGAGAGCGACCCGGTGTTTTTAGAAAGGGTGGTCAGGGAAGGCCTCCCAGAAGAGGTGAAATCGTGACAGGTGAGCTGAGAAACTTTAATGAGCCGAGGAGCCAGCCATGCAAGTATGGAGCAGGTCCCAGGCCGGGTCGTGAGCCAGGTTTGAAGGCTAGCAGGAGCTGGTGTTGCTGCAAAGTGATCTGGAGGAGGAGAGGCGTGGGAGATGAGGTTGGAGAGGTGGCGAGATCAGGTCCTGAGGGTCTTGCAGGCTGTGAAGAGCCCCTGGCTCTTCCTCCGGCATGCACTCAGAGCCGTTGGAGGGTCTGGAGCGCAGGAAAGACCTGGCCCAACTCAAGTCTAGAGAGCCACTCTGGCTGCTGTATCTGTACAAGCCCCTGGCACACAGTAGGTGCTCACTAAATTTCGGTGGTTATCACTGTTTTCAGCCACATCACTGGACTCTTAAGCCCACTGAGGGCAGAGATCTGAATGGAGTCACCTTGTGCCCCCAGTGCGCAGTGCAGAGCAGGTGCTAAGATGTGTGGATAAACAAATGAGAGACTCAGGACCAAACGAGTGAGCCAGCAGGACTGGGTTCTGAGAACGAGACTCACGTCCCAGAAGGGCGGCTGGGACACACAGTTGTGAAGTCAGTCACAGTATGAAGGAAGCACGCCACTGATCATGCAGCAGAAAGATCAGGTAAGCGCTGGGTTGTAAGCACCATTGTCTAGGGCCTAAGGACGTGTAGGATGCAGCTGGACCCACATTTGGGCTGCAGGAGCCAAAGTGCACCTGCCAATCACCAGGTGCAGGGCAGGCAAACCACATGGGGTGCCAGCTTCCTGGATCGCCAGGAACCCCCCTGGGAGCGTCAGGGACAAGTGTTTAGCATGAAAGAGCAACTCAGAGGGTGCAGTCCAGCTAGGCACTGGTGTCCAAAATTCGGGTTCTCAGCTGTACTTGGGAGATGGCAAAGATTGTTGTGGGCTGGGGCAATCATGGAGGGCTTCCTGGAAGAGCTGCAGCCTGGACAGATGGATAAGATTCAAACTGAAAATATTAGAGAGCCAGAGTTGCAGACACTCCCCACCCCTTGCCTCCAGCTGCCCTGTGAGCTCTCCCATCTCTGAAGCACATCTGATACCCCTCCCCATTATCCACGAGATAATGCTTCAACTTTGCATTCAGAGTTCCTATCTCCAGAAAACGGCCTGAGCCCCCAACAGCCTTCCTTCTGCCCAGCAATCACACCTAGGGCACATGCTGTGCCCTGAACACATCATGCATTTTCTATCCCAGCGCCTTTGATCGTGCTGTTTGCTCTGTCAGGAATTCCCTTCTCCAGCCCCTTTCTAGACCACGGCCCAGGCTTCAAAGCCCAGGTCCAGGGTCCATTTCAGAGAAGTCTCCATCCTCTGATCCCACGTCACCCAATGTGGATGAGCTGTATGCCAAGCTGGACTTTGGTGGGTGCTGTCTCTTTGGGGTGACTGTTATATCTCAGTTAGGCCTCTTGTCCTGGTTTAATTATTAGTAGTGTCCCTTTCACGCCCAGATGTGTTCCAGCTGGATGACAAGTTATATGGTCACCCTTCGTTGCCCCCACCCTTCTCTGCCCAACTGAAATCCTCTGGGCAGGATCCACACTGTCAGGGCCCAGCACAACACTCTGACATAGCTGGTAGTCATTCGCTCACACAAGTCACTTTTGAGGTGCACGTGGGACAAAGCAGCAGACAGATATGTCCCTATTCTCCTGACACATGTTGGAGGGGAAGGAAGGTAAGAAAACAAGATCACCTCAGAGTTACAAGTGTCATGGAGAAAATCATGAGAGGAAGGGAAGAAGAGACGGGAAGGGGTCCGTGGTGACTCTACAGACAGGCCAGGCAGGGAAGGCCTCTCAAGAAGCATTTGACTGAGGCCTGGAAACTCAGGGAGCCAGCGATGAGAATATCTGCAAGAAGCAAACTCCAGAGAGAGAAAAGCAAGTGCCAAAACCCTGAAGTTAGAAAGTGCAAAGTTTGTTTAAGGAGCAGCAGAGAGGCGAGTGTGGGGGAGTGAGGGGGAGTGATGGGAGATGGCTGCATGGAGTAGAAAATGCTGGGCTTTGTCAGCCACGATAAGGACTTAGGAGGGTTTTTTTCGCCTGCCAATGGAGGATTTTGGATGGGGGGAGTAACATGTTCTCAGTTATTTTTTCCCCAGACTGAAAGGTTTTTATTTTTTCATCATGCATACAGAAGACAAAGTGCCGACTCCTCCTCCAACTGGACAAAGGCACCTCATGAATACTCTGTTTAGAAGCAGAGATGTCAGTTACAGCAATGTCAATCACAACGTGGCCACTGGGGCTCAGAATCAAGACCATCAGAGTTACAGATTTATTTTTGGAGGTTATCCTCACAAAACATGAGGAACATGGGAACAATTTCCGGTCTTAAGTCCTACAAAACCACCCTATTCAAACTACTTCTAAGTACAGGGTGATATTAACAGACCACAACAACTTGATTACAATCCCGAATAGCTACAAAGTTTCCAAATGGCAGAGAAAGATTACACTGACATTCTTATAAATGTTCTCAACTAAAAGCAACAAGCAGGCGTGGACAGCTCAGTTTCCCCCGTCTGAAGAACCAGAGAAGGGGATGCCTAGGGTCTTCCTTAAAAGCAGCAAAATGAAAAACTATATATAGCAGTAACTTTCTACATACACAAGGTCATACCTGGACTGAGACAGCCTCTAAAGTTGCAGTGTTCTGTTATTCTTCTCATTTTAAAAACCTACTGGTCAATCAAAAAAGTTAGGAAGTGGGGCTGGCTCAGTGGTGTAGTGGTTAAGGTCACACGCTCAGCTTCAGTGGCCCAGGGTTTGTGGGTTCAGATCCCAGGTGCAGACCTACACACCACTCAAGCTATGTTGTGGAGGCATCCCACATGCAAAATAGAAGATTGGCACAGACGTTAGCTCAGTGACAATCTTCCTCAAGGAAAAAGAGTTAGATTGGCAATGAATGTTAGCTCAGGGCCAATCTCCCTCACAAAAGAAAAGTTAGGAAGAATCAAGGGGCTCTCCTCCCACCTCCCCATGGACTCTCAGCCATCTCTGCCTTTCTGGCTGGCTCTGGCCCTCCTGCACTCCCCTGCTGAGAGGACTTGCTCCTTTATTTTGTGTCAAGGTCTCCCCAGGGCCTGGGGAGCAGAAGACAAGGCCTTCCATGGGAAGGGGCCTGGATATGGTGACCCCCACAATTAAATGGAGACAGTCCTGAAAGCCTGCAGAGGGGGACTTGGTGGGGGCAGCTAGGCTCTTATACCTACAGGATCCCATGGGGGAGGTTTGGACCCGCTGGAAGAAGAAAGTAGAGTTGGGGCCAAAGTTAGTCTAAAATGACACAGCACGAAACAAAAACAGTGAACTATCTCCTCCCCTGGGGAGGCAGACGTCTTGGTCTCTCTGTTCAGCAGCCCTGCTCTTTCCCCCCTTAAAGATCCCAGGCCTTGCTGACGGGGGCGGAGCATGGGAGCAGAGCGGGCAAAGAGAGCCTGGGTAGCAGAAAACAACCTCCCCCTCTGCAGTCAACCAAAGACAGGCAAAGCCAACAAGAAAGCCGTCTCCTCAGCTGTCTGTGAAGAACCTTGCTGCTTCAGTTTATTTTCTGTTTCTGAGCTGTCACTTTAAAGAAAATAAAAAGATGTGCGATCTAGGCAGGTGCAGACAGCCTACATGACCAGAAACACCCCTCCCCAGCACCCCCAACCTGGCGGCCTAAAAACAGGTGGAGATGGTGGAGCTGGATTCTGTGTGAATCCAGTGACGGGCTCAGGGTAGTAGGCTTCTGGAAGGGACCTCGTTGTTGCCTTGCCTTGAGCAAATGCCCAGATATGCCGGTGCTGCAGAGTTCCTGAGGGTTTGGGAGCTCTTGTGTGCATTGGCAGGTGGCCCACCTGGGTCCACAGGCAGTTCTTGAGGGCCTTATAGACCTGGGAGCAGGTGACAAGATTAGTGGCAGCCTGGGCAAAACTCACGAGAAGGGCGATGGTACAGACCTCTGCAAGCTGACAGTAGGCCACAAGGTAGGATCAACACAGGGGTAAGAAGAGCAGCGTGGTCACAAACAATGCATTGCCCACTGCTTCATGCCCTTGACCTCACCCACGCCCAGCAGCCTTCTGCTGGCTGCATGCCCACTCTGCTAGATGCCCAACAGTCCAGTAGCCTGGCCTGTGGTCCCGAGGCCCTGGAATGTACAAGTCTGGTTGACAGCCAGCACCAAGTGCACCCATTTCATCTTGGGTGATGAGACTCAGCTTGCCACACAGTGTGCAGGACCAGCATAAATATGAAGCCCAGCACCTTGTAGCCTTGAAGTAGTAGGCCTCAAAGAGGCACTGGTCCTTCTAGCAATGACTTGTGGGTGCCCATGTCAAAAATGGGTGGGAAGGCCATGATCAAAGGTCCAGGACATGAAGATGATGGCCGTACATGTCCATAGCATTGGGTGCTTGAGTAGACACTGGCAAGTGACAGTCACGTGATGCATGAAGGCCACATGGAAACAGAAGGGCTTGGCCACGAAGCCCACAATCTTGGAGCTGCATCCACTGAATGTCCAGAGGGGCCAGAGTGCAGAGAAGAGAAAGCAGACAGCAGGGTGCCATCACTGGCCTAAGCACAGGTCCACAGGAGGCAGAAGGGAACCTTATGTAGGGGCCAGGTCCCAGGGCAGGACTCAGCCAGACTGGAACCTGTAGGGCCTAGAAGGAGCCTCTGTGGGCCACCTGGCGAGGCCTCGCCTGGCTCTGTGGGGCCTATCCCCCAGCAGGTAGTATTGCAGGGGGTTGGGCCACAAGTCCTCTTTAATGATCTGGGCAACCCTGTCGGCCTCTGGAAGGCTGTGCTGTGAGAACCAGCTGAAGAAGCTGCGGACAGTGTCTCGGTTCCTGTGTACCAGAGCAGGGGGTTCCTGGCCCCGGTGCCAGCGGATGCGAGTTGCAACTGATACTACCCGACCTGAGGATCTGCACTCATATTCCTTCACGATCACCTTGTTCCGGAAGTAGGGGTTGCTCCAAAAGCGGAACTTGAACTTGCAGCCAGTCCTGGCATGCCTGAGCTCCCTCACCTCCAAATTCATCAGGTAGCAGAGCATGTCTTCATCTCGGGGGCTGATCATGGCTGACAGCTGCGGGTGGTTCAGGAAGGCGGTGACCCAGAAGCCAGGAATATTCTGGATAATGAAGCTCCTACGGGCTAGGTGCAAGCGGCGCATGCGCCCAAACCTGCGCTCGAGTTGCAGGTAGGCCCTATCCGCGTGGGCGCTCACAGCCTCCAGTTCCCACTGAATGGCCTCCAGTGGGTCCACAACCGGGCCATCCAGGTTAAGGGGCCCCAGGCCCTCCTGCGCCTCCGCCTCCACCTCCACCTCCAGCTTCTCTTCCTCCACCAGCTTCTCCACCACCTCCATATCCTCTCCCACTTGCTGCTTCTCCACCTCTCCCTCTGCCTCCTCCTCGAAGATGGCGCCTTCCTTAGTCGTCACTTCCTCGGCCTTCCCGCCAGCTCCAACCCGAGCCCTCCACCCCTCTGCACCACAGGTTTCTGGGGCCTCATCTTCGATAAGGCCGTTTTCCGGGCTCCGGTCAGTCGCCACAGAGGCCGCTTCCCGGCGCCCCGGGTCAGGCCAGGCGGTCCCGGGGCCGGCTACGGGGTCGATGTGCCCGCGTCTCCCGGCTTCTCGGGCCCCAGCCGCGGGGCCCGGGGGCGCGCCCCCTCCCTGCGCCTGGCCGGGCGACGGGCGCGCAGCAGTTTCCACGTCCCTCGCACCCTCGTCTGCCATCACCTGCGGGAGCCTCTGGCCTGCAGGGGCTCGGGGCACGGGCGACACTGCAGGCTCCGCGAGAGGGACGGCTCGGCGGCTGGCGGTGAGCGCGGGCGGGAGGCGGGGAGATGCGGTCTCCTCCTCCCGGGGGCGCGCTCCGCCCCTCGCGCCCCCCCTTTCCGGATGTGATTTGCAAGTGTCCCCCGACTGCGGGGGTCGAGGGGCCTGGAGGCTTGGCAGAGGGGCAGGGGGCTGCCCGGTGGGGGTGCGACCGCGGGCGCCGGACACGACTGGCCCCAGCTTAGTAGGGCGCTGGCCGTGGAGGTGGAGTGAAGTGCAGGGGTGTACCAATAAAGAGCAGTTCCCAGCAGGCACCAGGGGTCAGGCCCAAACCTGGTCACGGACAGAGAACCTTCCATCACAGCCACCACTCCAGGCGGTTACTGTTGCCTGTATCTGCGTATTTGCGGTAGGCAGGTGGGAGCTGCCCGGCGCCCACCCCCGACTACGGCTTTGGGACAGCTGTAGGACCCTTGGAACTTTGCACAGGATAAATTAGCCGTATGCAGAGGGGTCATGAGGTATCCCTTGCACAGACTGACTAGACTCAGACTGGGCCCCGCAGATGATGGTGATTGTCGGGCACACGGAGGTGCTCAAATATTTATAAGAAAGGAAGAAACAAGGTCAGAGTAGAAGGATCTGGGGCAAGGGAAGCTCTCAAACACTGCCAACCAGGGAGCAAGTGGGCATCTGTCTGGTTTCCCTCACGTGAGGTGGATCCTTCTAGGCTGGTAGGCTGAAAGGTGGACATTGCTTCACCTTGTCCTAGGCCCGGGATCTACCCCTTGCTCTGTACCAGACATTTCACAAATGTGAACTCGTCTGAAGTACAGGGTCTACGCTTGGATAGGGTAAGATGGACCAGCCACTGCAGCCCTGATCCTGCAAATGCATCCACACTTCTGTCCTCTCAGCTCCCAAACCTGTGGCCTATAGAGGTCAGTACACCTAATGCCCATACCCACTCCATCCCCGATCTGGAAGTCCTTGCCACCTCCTACAGAAAGCCTTCAGCCTCCTCCCATCCAATGGAAAGGTAGCCCTGAGCCTCCAGGCCCATCCTAGGGTATGCACCCCCTAGAGGGCAAGGTGGATTCCCTTGGGGCCCTAGCTGGTATCCGACTCATTGGGGTGACAGTGAATATCTGTCAAGTAAATGGAAGGTCAAAGAGAGGAAGAGCCAGCCCACTGCCTTTGTACACAAAACACCTGTTATATTAACACTTGTTAACATTCCCTGGACTCTTGGGTTGGACTCGAGTGCCTTGCACTGCTTGGCTATGGACACTGGTTCCAAGCCACAGAAAAGCTAGCTCAGCCTGAGCGCTGGATGGAAGAATCTCAGTAGAAGAGATGGGGCCCAGGACAGTGATGACTACCTTCGTTAAAGACTGGCCAAGCAATGGCGTCAGGTGAAGACATGTCAGCCTAACAGTCTGTCTGAATCCAATGGGTAGGCACAAGTGTGAGCAAGGTCAGGTCCTAACTATCACCAGCTGTGCACCTTGGGCAGTGGATGACATCTGTCTTCTTGAACAACCAGCATCCATTCCTCATTCTAACAGTACCCCAAATTTCCTTTGAGAAATCCCTCCTCCCCTCGTCTCAGCCTTGTCATCACTGGCTTATAGTGACTGGTTTAGGGATGGCACAGAACCCCATCAAGCCCAATAAGATAGGTGATGCTTACTGGGGCTTCTGAGTAACAAGACTCCTCTCCTGAGAGCCTGAAAAGGGTCCCTTTCTTTTCATAGTCGGCACTGTGTGAGAATGACAGGTGTGGAATGGTGGCAGCATTCTACTCCTACACAAAGGGACAAGCCACTTTGTAGGGCCTGAGAATGAAGTCACAACTGCACAAGATAGGGCAGAGAGAAATAGGAATGCTAAGGCCAACCACGTTTGAGTCGCTGGGTCAATCCTAACCTAAAGAGTACCCTACATCTGGCATTTTCCGTTCTAAGAAATTTAATTGTTTAAGCGAGTTTTTTTTCCTCCCCAGATCCCCCCAGTACATAGTTGTATATTTTAGTTGTGGGTCCTTCTAGTTGTGGCATGTGGGATACCGCCTCAACATGGCCTAATGAGTGGTGTCATGTCCGTGGCCCAGGATCTGAACCCTGGGCCGCTGAAGCGGAGTGTGCGAACTTAACCACTAGGCCACGGGGCCGGCCGCAACGCGTTTGATTTTTCTGACCCTTGCATCCAGGATTATGATGTGATGCCACTTACCTCAAAGATATCCCATTAAGATCTTTCATTTCAAAGTACAAAGTTTGTAGGTGCTAATGTGAAGGGTTGTTACTATCTGCCTACACTCACCATCCCCTTGGATGGTAAAGATGTCTGGAGATTCCAATTCTTCCCCAGGCTCTCTCCACCCCTTTCCCAATCAGACAGGTTCACAACTTCCAAACACATCATTCAGAAGTTTTTAATAAACAACTTCATTATAAAAACTTTTTTTGAAAATGTAATTCTGTAAAACATTGAAAAATCTACTTTAACAAAGATATGCCCTGTGCATTTTCTAATGGCACTTATATTTTACAATTAAAAACCTTGTTTTATATAAAGCCAAAAATACTCCAAGAGGTTATTCACTGTGTTTACAAAGTGCTAGAAGGTTTTTGTCTTGTATTTTTCTCTCTTTAAATAATCTGGCGTTACGAAAGGGTGGCTCCAAAGCCTTGACCACTGGGAGGGAGGGAGGCATATGAGAAGTGGTGTTTCAAGAGTTCTAGTGCCGAACATTGAGGTGGAGAGGTGCATATGGGGAGAATCGGCTAAGGAAGTCAGCTTACATCCGAAGAAACTGGACTGGAGTACTTCTTCCAAATCCCTCCACAGAGGCACTAGAGCATCATGGTGAATCCTTCTCCCGTCAACATCAGAACACCCCTTTTCCACCCTACTCTCCAGTGGTGAAGGTCACAGCCAATTCCTTCCACAGCAGGTTCAGAGCTCCAGGAGAGGCCAGGGTGGGGTCCCAGAGGAATCTGGACTTTTCTGGCCAACACCTGCCTAAGGCAAAGTTTCTTATTACATAAATATCCTTGTTAAAAAGCAAAATATTGATCCTGTACAATATAAACTGTTAAAAAAAAATCGTGCTTAAAAACAGCTCCTAGATAAGAGGGGAGGTGGAAAGGGGGTGGAGAAAACAGCTACCAAAAAGAAGGGGGGGGGGTGGGGATTTAAAAGGCTACTAGGGAAAGTTTAGGGCAGTGGGAGAATTTCAACTTAGGACAATATCTACGAGCAAAAAAGTAATCACACCTGCTTCCCGGATTTCCATTAACAAAATGCCATTTGTAAAAGGTTGGGGGGGAAAAACTCATTGGTGCTCCTCTCCCTACCTCACCTCTTGAAGATGTGCACAGATCCTTTGAGCTGACACAGCCGGGTATGTCGTGCTCTGGCCCCCAGGACTGCATTCAACCCAGACCAGCTACTGTGCAAGGCGTGAGGTGCCTGGCCTCTGCTCAGGGTAGCTCAGCGCTGACAGAGCTTGGAGGTGGTGGTGGGGAAAGGGGACATCACCCCTTTTTCCTGGTCCCTGTTTGGTCTCTGCCACATGCCATGGCTCCTTTCCTGGGCAGACGCCCCTCAGGCTCTCATGGCCTCAGTAAGGGTATTGAAGTGGGTTTGGTACTGAGTATAGGATAAAGCTATTCTTATCCTTTGAACAACCAGGCCAATAAGGCGCTTTTTTTTTTTTTTTTTTTAATTTTGGGAAGAGAGGTTTAAGAAACAGCTGGGTAGCTATGGTCCAAAAAAAGGTGAAGGCAGATGTTCCCCTGTGCCAGCAAAGTTCACAGTGATAAGGAAGTTCTTTACGGGTGGTGAGGGCATTGAAGGAAGAGGAAAGAAGGGGCGGGATGAAAGGAAGAAGGGGAGGGAAGGAGGGGCAAGACCCCAGTTACAAGGTTTTAAATAGTTGCTTTGCCTTTCCTATGAGTTTCCCAACATCACTAATGGGGAGATCATCCAAGGAAGGAGCAGAGAGGAGGGGACTCCTCTAACAGCCCAGACTTTATATTCTGTGGCCAGAGGCCCATTTGCCTCTGTAAACGAAGGGTGCCGGGAAGGTGGCAGGGAGTGGCGAAGGGTTGCTGGGTCTAGTGATGAAGACCAGAGACCAGGAGAATGGTAGCACTGAGTCCTGCTTGGATCCTCACATACCATTTCCTACAATACGAGTCCCAAAAACATGCACAGCATGCAGGAGGTGGGTGCGTACCAAGGTGGACGCTCTTAAAAATAAACCTTAATTAGTCCCTGGGACTCACTGAAACTAATTTTTAGAAGCAAATCACCTAGTCTGATTCTAACCTTGCCAGACATTTTTATATCTGGTTTTGTTTTGTCTTTTAAAAGGTATCCTAAGCTATCCTGCCTAAATCAAAACATGCTTATCTACTCCACATTATTTCCAATCAAGGGCCAGGGAGGTACATTTTAAGGCTTTCACCTCAAACAAAGAGTAGTGGCCTGGGCTGAAGCAGAAGCCTGAGTCTTGGACCTGCTCAATTCCTGATGATAAATCAAAGTGATTTCTAGACAGAAGGGGGAGAGAGGAAGGACTGGGAGGAGGCTGAGGCAGTTCCGCGGTAGTTTGTCCTGAAACCCTAGTGGAGAAGCCAGCATGATGCACCCACTGAGAGAAGTGCCCAGAAACTGCTGGCTGTATCTGTAGGAGTTAACAGTAAAGAGGTAGAAGTGTGTTTCTGAATCAGAGTGGAAGTGTCTCAAGAGGGTCCCACATTAGTGGTCCCTGAGCTGCCTCCCTTCCACGAGCGGGAAGAGCGAAGCCTATGTAGAACTGAGATGAAACAGAGATGGAGTTCAGCTGGGCAAGGCCTGGTGCTATCTGTGGCAGGGAGCCCCACAAGTCAGAAGAGAAGAACTAATCATTTGTTGCAAGAAACCTTGCTGAGAACTGGGGGCAAAACTGAGGGGGCCCACAAGAGGAAGGTGGAAGTTTTTTGATGGAGGGCAGAGAAGCCCATGCACAGTGTCCCTGAGTCCATGGTGACTGCAAAATGGAGAGGAGGGACACTGTGGATAAAAAAAAAGTTTGGTATGGGAGGCAATGATGCACCCATAGACTAGGACTCAACTATCTGGCCAGTCCTAACTTTCTGAAAACTCGTCTTCCAACAATTCCACAACTTCCTGGAAAAGGGACAGGTAGGAGAGAGACAAATGAGGGGTTCACACCCTCTCCTTTGCTATCCACACCAGCCTAGAACCCAAGTCCCTCCTTCCAAGACTAATGATAACAGCTCATGATGTTCAGGGTAGGCATTAGGGAATGGGGAGGTGACAGAGGTGGGCATGCCTTTCATTTCTTCCCCTCTCCTGTTCAAAAGGAGGATGAGGGGGGTCATGATGTACTTGGGGAAAAACAGAATCGCAGACCTGTGAGAAAACTGCTCCAGTCTTCTTGCCTGCCTCCTGTGGACACTGCTGAGGAAGGCAGAACAGACACAGTCATGGAAGATGGCAGAGACTGAAGCAGTCCAAAGTCAGTTTATTTCCCCACAGGGGAAAAATGTGACCTCAAGTGAAGAGAAGTCAGCGAGACCCGACTCCGCCTTGTAAACAGGGCTCCAGTTAACACCAGGTACCAAATGGTTCCGGCTGGTGCCAACTGGAATGGACTTGTGGGAATGGATTCACGGTGTGTAAACAATGTTCACTGCAATCATTCTAAGGCTAACAGCTTGGCAAGGGAGATGAAATGGTGGTCTGAGGCGACTGTGTAAACGGTACCGTTGCTGGACAACACTGACTGAAAATGGAGGTGGTGGTACAGGAGGGATGGGGGGGAAGAACAGAGGCTCTTTCCTGCCTGTTGGTTGGAAGCAGGTGATGGAGCCAAGTGATCCTCTGCAGAGGTCTGACCAACTGCTGTGGGGTCTGCAGGTTGGGACCAGAAGGCGGGCTTCTTGGGCTCTCTCTCTCTCTCTCTCTCTCTCTCTCTCTCGGTCATCCAAAGTGAAACCCTCCATGTCTCCAAGAGACCTCCCCCTTCTCCAAAGAGAAGGAGGTTCTGACGTTTGGGAGAGGGAGAGGGCTAAGTGTGGCTCCCGATTCAGATAAAAAAAAAATAAAAGTAAAAATACCTGAAGTCCTATGGTATGAGATCTTTTCATGGGGTTGGGGCTCAAGGCTCCTCCTGGAGCCTGAGCCCCCAAACCAAGTGCTCCATACAGATACTGGAATTTTTTCTTTTTGAACCCAGCTCTGAAAGCTCAGCTGCCTTCATGGGGGATGCAGATGGGGTAGGTACTGAGGCTCCCTGACAGAGCCCAAGACTGAGGTGAGGGCCTCCCTGGGGGCTACTGGAATGCCTGGTGGAAACGAGGCAGGGTGGTGGTGCTCAAGCCGGACGTGAAGACAGGAGGCAAGGAGTGCAGAGGCCCGAAGTTCAGTGGTCCCCCAGCTCCCGAGGAATCTTGAGGTTGAGCTTGCAAAGTGGTGAGCAAGGGCTGTGCCTCGGCCTGGGAGTAGCCCATGACCAGGCCTCCTGTGGCCCCAGGCGGGTTACACGGGGGCAGGTTGAGTGGAAGAAAGCCCAGTAAGTGGGAGAAGTCCACATTAGCAGCGCAGAGGGCCTCAGAGAGGTTGGCGGGGCTCTTGGTGAGCAGTGCTTCATCTAGGAGGGCCGCAGCTGCCGCCGGCTGAGGTGAGGCGGGCTGGGGTTCAGCGGATGAGAGAGACAAGCTTCCAGGAAGCTCCGCCAGAAAACTATCCACCTCCACTTTGGGCAATTTGTCAGGCAAGTATGAGGTAGATCCAAGCTGATATTTTGGAGGAAGCTGAGCTGGGGAAGAGATAGGTGAGGATTCCAGAGGGTAGCTCATACCCATGGGCAGTGTGTTGTGCACCAGGGAGTGTGGCACGCCAGCGCTGGGCACGGTAGGGATGTGGGCACCATACATGCCCATGGGCAACATACCAGGGAAGGCCTTGGCCCCCATCATGTCCCGAGAGGCCATGCACAGCACAGGGCTTAGCTCTTCCTTCACGCTGACTGTGGAGCTGCAGCTGAGTAGGCCTAACATGTCCACTGGCTCTGTCTTGATCTTGAGCAGCTCCTGCGAGTGGCTCTTCTTGACATGACGCGTCAGGTGGTCCTTGCGGCCAAATCGCTGGGCACAGTACTGGCACAGGAAGTCCTTTCGGCCTGTGTGCACCACCAAGTGCCGCCGCACATCCTTACGAGTGTAGAACCGCCGCTCACAATGGTCACAGGGGTGCTTCTTCTCCTTGGCACCGCCTGCTACCCGGCGTGAATGGGCCTTCAGGTGCTCTAGCAGGGCCTGGGTACTCTCAAAGGTCTGCAGACACACCTTGCAACTGAGGTCACCGCTGCTGGCAGCATGCATGGCCAGGTGGCGCCGGTAGCCCAGCTTTGTATTGTAATTCTTACCGCACTCAGAACAGTGGAGGGCCTCTTTGTTTGGGTCGTGGGTCTGCAGGTGGTTCCGCAGATGGTCTTTACGGTGAAACATCTTATCACAGTACATGCACTGGTGGGGTTTCTGGGCTGAGTGGGTGGCCATGTGCCTGGGGGTAGGGATAAAGGATAGAGGAGACAGAAAGAAGGGAGATCACAAGGGCTGGCCAGACAACCGAGGTGTCCATTAACAGGGAACTAGATATAAAAATTATGGTAGAGCCATGCAATGGAATGAAATAGAATACCATGCCAACTATATTCTAGAGATATCCTTGCCCACCTACAAAATCACGTATGTACTGCTATTCTTTGCAGCATATTTTGTAGCAGCAAAAATCAGAAACAATCTAAATACCCATCAATAGGGAACTGGTTAAATAAATTATGCTAAGTCCATAAAATGACTCAACTTTTTAAAAAATAAGGCAGCTTTATATGTACCCACAGGGAACAAGCTCCTAAATTACAGTAAGTGGGAAAAAAGCAAGGAGATACAGCAGTGCATCTAGAATGGTACTATGCATATGAAAAGAGGGAAAAATATACGTATGACTGCTTGTATGTGCTTACATTTCTGGAAGGATATTTAAGAAACTGACAACACTGGTTGCCTCTGGGAAGAAGAAATGGGCAGCTTATGGGTGTGACAGAGAATTTTCAAAAGGTATACCTTTTGGTACCTTTTCAGTTTTGAATTAGGTGAATGTATCTCCTTTTCAAAAAACTATATTTATAATTTCTTAAATAACGCAATAAAGGGAAAATGAAATATATCTAAACTTCCTGATCCGGAACAATCTCCCAAGATATAGGGGCTAAGTCAAAAAAGGAAGTTCCGTACAGTGTGTGTAATACAATCCCTTGTGAAAATAAAAAGGGAAGGGAATATGTTTGATTGGCAAGCAAAGATACTCAAGAAAATGACCCCACAGGTTGCTTTTGGGGAGAAAAACAATGCCTTTGAGTGTGAGGACAATTCATTTTTCACTGTATGACCATCTGTACCACTTAAATTGTTTGCCACATAAACCAGCAACATTTAAAAAAATGTTTCCACGGTATGGCACCTCAGTGTCCCTTGGTTTACCTGCTTCCATCTGGTTGGAAAGCAACTCAGAGTCCAGTAATTACAATCCAGAGCACAGTACATTCAGAATCAACTCAGCAAGACTTCAAGGGCTCACTGTTTGCCAGGCCCTGTGTGAGGTGTGTCATTAACCTTGTTCTCCATAAGAAGCTAAAGGGCAGCCCTGTCACCAATAAGTGGCAGAGGGAGAATTTAAACACAGATTTTCTTGAGACCTGGGTTGACTTAGGCATGCCACCACTAACTCTGGTATAGCACCCAGTGATCCTTTCTATCTGGATAGAATCAAACATACCCCTTACCCTCATGCTATGTGTGAGTGCTCAAGAGTGCTCACGCCTATGAGGGTTACTATTAACCTCCTGGTAAGTAACTAACGTGGTAACATGAGAGGGAGGTGCTGAGTGATCCACAGTCCACTTCCCTCATTCTGAAGGTGAGGAAACTGAGGCCCAAAGAGGTTTCGTGACTCGCTTAAGATCACACAGTGACTATGGATGTACTTGGAGCTCCTGCCTCCTGGACCAGGATCTTTCTTGCAGCCTCCCACCAACACCCAGACTGTCACTAAGAAAGTCTAAGAGGATGGCCCCTACTGGAGTCCACCTAAGACACAGGAGTACACAAAATCAAAGCATTCCTGAGGACCACAGAACTGTCATGAGGGCAATCCTGGTCACACACTACTGTTACCTGTTTTAGTTTCTTCCTATCAACTGTCTTCCAGACAAGGAACTGAGGCTTTCTGTGGTCATCTTATTCATGTATTTACTTGTCTGCTGTCTGTCCCACTATTAAGACAGTAAATTCAAAGAGGGCCAGCACCCTCACCTGTCTGGCTCACCACTATTCCTAGCACTGAACACTGTGCCTAGTATTAGCAGGAGCTCAATAAATCATAGTTGGATAGATGAATGACGGTGCATCAGGCAGTCTATCTCATTTGTAAAGGACATGTTCATGTTCCTCTGATGGAAAGTCAAGGAAAAAAATCAAAATTACTTCCGAGCAGGCCCCCCTCCCTTCAAAGCTGCTCTGCCATATCTGCTTTACACCCGAGCTTTCACATTTCATTTCACTTTAAGTAGAGGTTCTTGGGCTTACACATTTCAGGAAAGCCACCGACCCAGAGGACACCAGGGATTCTACAGAGACAGAAGTAACCATCTGAGTGGCAGGCCGGTTCAGTAGAAGAGGCGCTGCAGGAACTAAGCAGCTATGTGCCCTTCGGTAGGTTACTTTCCTGCTCTTAGCCTCCACTTTAAAATTTAAAGATTGGACAGAAGGTCTCCTTTTCCTTCTAAAGTTCTAAGACTGATTCCTAATTTCTGGCTAAGATTCTCACCATTACCTGACAGCGGTAGGGAAAAAACAGTATTGAAAAAAATGTTCAATCTAGTTTGTTCACAGTTGTCTGATATTGTACCCATCAGATTGTAGTATCTGAATAAAAAAAATACTGCCATTAGTTTTTAGTGAGTGCCCTCAAAAAGCTGGTGCTCAGGAAACACTTATGGGACAAATTAACCTCTAATGCCACAGAAGAAGCCCCACACTCAGTGGAGTCTCTCTGGCTTTGTCCTGTGGGAACCTCAGGGCAGAAAGAGGTATAGGAGTGTCACCTACCTATACAGCTTGTACTTGGAGGCAAAAGCCTTGCCACAGTGCAGCTGAGGGCAGCTATACGGTCTCTGCTCTGGATGGGGGAGGCTGTGAGGTCTCAGTTTCTCCCCATTTGAGAAGGGTGTCCCCGAGATTTCACATTGGCACTTCACTTGACTCTCCGCCTCCCGGCCCCGAGGCCTGGGAACTAGTTTCCAGCCCACTTCCTCCTCCTGCTTTGCATCTTGAATCCAGGGGGGGACGCTGGTGAAAAATGTGGTCATGGCAAGGCTAATGGCGAAGGGCCATGTTATTCAGAAAGCCTCCCCATCAGCTCCACACGGGCTCTCTGCTCTGTCACAGCCTCCACCGCAGCCTTCAGAAAACAATCTCTTCACCTGAAACATCAGAACACCTGGTGTTAGGGAGCCCCATACCATGAAAACACAGGCTCTGGAGGCAGACAAATCCCCATTCCAATCCCAACCCTTCCACTTAGAAGCCATGCGACTTCCAGCCAATTACTTACTTCCCTGCGCTGTTTCCTCATTTACAAAGTGGGCTTAATAATCTCCTAAATCACAAGGATGTTTTGAAGATTAAATGAGATAATGAATATAATTCAGCAGAAGGCTGGGCACCTAGTAAGTGCTTAGCGATAACTATTATTACTAGTACTGCCTAGGCTAACAGGAAACAAGATAATCTGAAGAAGAGCCCTAAACTCCAAACTTTCTCTTTTGACTTCACTTTTACATCTTTCCCACTAAATTTAGAGATAGCAGCTCCTCCTCCTCCTCTTTACCCTACTTCCCCCTCACCCACTACTTTCCACAGTTCTTCTCCTCATGGAGGTGCTAAGCAGCAATAAAACGCCCAAAAGGTAACAGAGGAGAAGGAAGGAGAAGGCTTCACTTAGGAAATTTACACCCTAGAAAGGCACCCTCTGTGCCAGATGTGTTTCTTAGCAGTGCAGCAACATCAAGAGGTTCTGTCTGAGGAGGCAACAGCAGACTCAGCATTTCCCCTAGACCAGTACTGGTCCCATCCTGCCCTCCACCACCTCTCTGGATCTCTGGGTTTCAGGACCCAGACCATGCTTCTTTAGCAAAGCCTGTCCAACACCCCAAGATGCTGAGCGGCCCCTCCTACAGACCCTCATAGTACACATGCATTTCTCCATTATGAGCAGGGAACACATTTGCATTAGAACTTAGTCTCCTCCACCAAACTCAGATTCTTTGAGGGCTCAGATGATATCTTTTATGCATCTCTTTTCTAGCATCTAGAAAAGGATCCTCAGCTTTCTTTTAGACAAGTAAATTAGTCATTGAATGCAAGCTGATTCTCATAGACTAACTTACTGTCAGGAAGGTCTGGTTTAAACTGGGTTCACAGCCCTTCCAAAGTGAGAAGCCAATATCTTGAAGCCTTTCTCTTGTTGGGGAGGGAGCAGGGGTGTGAGGGCGGTTAGAGCAAAGATGACACAACTTCTTTCCTGACATCAACTCAGAGGAAGAGAGGATGGGAGTTACCATACTGACTATCAAAAGTGGGACAACAGATCCACATTCGCACTCACAAGCTCATGACAGCTTACCAACCGCAATGCAACTTGCTACAACAAGGGGATTCCCTTTGAAGAGTTCATGCCAAAATTTGGTCATGAGGCTTTTCCATGTAAAGGGAGCAAAGGGGGTATCTGGGGAGTGTCCACGAGAATCTGGGGAGGGCTCCAACTGCACAAACTAGCTGTGGGCCACAGAATGCTTGCTCAGCTCATTAGCACCTGCTGCTTACAGTGACCATTCATCCAACAGACTGGCCATGAACGAGATGATAGGATCAGCGGGTTCATGCCCCAGAGAGCTTTGCTCATCATTAACACGAGCTATGTCCTGTTCAGGAACCATTCCTCTTGTTGAAGAAACATTGCAATGTAATATGATAAACATTTCCCCATCACAAGTGGAGATTTGCCTAGAAAGATCTGCACAAAGGTGGCTGCATTTTGCATGAGTCACACGCTGGGGAGGGGCAGGTAGCACTAAAAACTAGTCCCACTTGAGCCTTCGAGTCATCATGGCATATTTGCCTGCTTCACTGTAAACCTCAAAGGCCTTTGACGTCTAGCTTTCATTGTTTAAGTCCCCTCCTTCTTTGCAAGGGTGGAATTACCTGTTTATAATACCAGTGATTACTATACACCTTGGAATTGGGTAGAGCAAGCACAAGTTTGAACACCTAGTTTGAAGGTAAAGGAAATTCCCTCCAAAGTCAAATTCTTCTATCCCTTGATATCTGAAATCAAGCACCTCAGCCTCTGGAAAATTAGGAACAGCAGCCAAAGGGAAGCAAGTCACATCACTTTGGCTGATCTAAGAGGGGAGCGTGGCCCTGGAAATTCCGCACAAACTCAGAAAGAGAACGGTACGTCCCCCACCTCCCACACGTCCACCTCAACTGTTCTCCTGAACAAGCACAAACAAGACACAGCAGTTTAGTATGCTGCTACTGAAAGAGTGAGTAATGGGCTTCTAGGAAAGAGGCTGGTGGTGGCTCAGAAGAGCTCACGAGGTTGTACTGAGAGAACCAAAGGAGGCCAGCAGCCATGTGCTTGCCTTGATCTGCATTTAATGTGGCTCTGGCTTTAAAAAGAAAACAGCCAACACCCTGATCCTATTCCCCCACGCGTTTAAGAGGCACAGCAGAAATCCTTACCTACAGTCACCAACAGGCTGCTGGATAACCAAAGCTGCTAGTGTTACCTTAGGAGCCCTTCTGGGAATCTGGTCTCTCTTCCTCTGTCCTTTGTCTGGAAACTCCTCTGATCCAGGAAGATTCCTGGGTCTCTCTCACATTATCAGAAGGCCTATTCCTCCAGACTTCCTCCTCAGCAAAACCGTGAAAGAATTCTGCTTCTTCAAAGCTGCTCTTCTGGTCTCACACTAACCTTAACAACTACAGAGAAGCTGACAGAACCTGTTCCCATAAAACAAACACAACCAAGCCCTCCCAGTTACTGGTGTACCTTGGTATATTTTCATCCTAAGATTCCTTCTGGCGCCTGATCTGAAGAGGGAGGTCGTGTGGAAGGAACCTTGGACTTGCTATCAGAAGAGCTGCTACTTGCTGGCTGTGAGACCAGGGGCAGGTTACTTTGTTTCTCTAACTCAGTTTCCTCGATTTCTAAAATAGAGATTTATTCTCCTCACCTATGACATTCTCATGGACTAAGTGAAACGACCCTCTTGGAAGCGTCGGGTATAAAATCTGTGCACCCAGGCAGGGCAGGCTCCAAGGTCTCACCGCGTCCGCCTTCTCCGCACGGGGCCTGAGGAGCACTTCTTTCTTCTCCCCTCTAATGTGACTTCTCAGCCAGTTTCCTTCCCTCCCCGCCCTCTCCCCAGAGCGCAGCCTTCCCCTTTTCCTCACAATTAACCCCCGGCACATCCTCTCTGACCAGTGCCCCTGCTTTACCTGCCTCCAGCAGCAGACCCTGGGCCACAGTCCCCCACTTCAGGAATCTCTTCCGGTATCAAGGCTCCATCTCCCAAACACAAACGCTCGTTAAGAACTCTGTGCGGCCTCTCTGGAAGCCGAGAGGAGATGGACAGCGCCCCAGTCCGTCTGTCCCCTGTTGTGTGCCATGATGCCTGCTGCCTCTGAGGAAACTATAGTTTTTATGGTGTTACATCATCTCTATAGAAACTGCGTTCTTTCTCCATTATTAGCCTGTTTCCTCATCAGTAAAGCTAAAAATACTTACCTCACAGGCTTGTTGTAAAGATTATTTCAGTCAGGTACGAAAGGGTTCGGCATGGGGCTAGGCTTGCTCGAAGCACCCAACAAAGGCAGCTATCATCCTGTCTTGGTGCTGAGCTGCCCGTCCCCAACTCTGCTGCCACTTGCATCCTCCCAACCCTCCCCAAAACCTGTTGAGAAGCAGCCCCCTGCAGCAAGGAGAGGGTTAATCTCCAAGTGTTCTTAACTAGAGACCCGCAGAGGATTAACAGCTCCACTTCAGTGCCTACCCTAAAATAGCTTTTATCCCTCCTGCCCAAGAGCTACTTGGGGATCTGAAGAACTCAATTCAACACCTGCTGAGGAGGAAACACACCCGGGGACGTTCCTAGGGGTGGACAGAATCTTCCCTTAAGCAGAACCCAAAATAGCAACCGAGAAATTATAAATAGACTTAGGGAAAAAAAAAAAACCCAGGTCCTGACCTGGGCACCAGAAACAAATCCCAAAGACACACCGAGTGGCCGGAAAACAGTGAGAAGGAGAGGGGGGAATGGGCACAGCTGCCCCTCCCGCGCGCTCACACTCAGAGGAGTAGGAGAATTAAGTTACAGGAGGCTGGAGAGTCTCAGCGCCTCGCATCATTCCAGGAGACCTCCAACAGGATTTACAGGGGTTGGATTTACGCTCAGGCTGCTGGCTCTCCTGCCAGTGTAGATGGGCCCTCTCTGGAGTCCCTTTGATTCACTATTTCCTCTGATTCCCACTGCCTCCCACTCCCGAGGCCTTGAGCAAATGGCTGCAACTCACTCCAGCCCCATTTTCATGAAGAGGAAACCTGATTAGATCCCCGCCCCAATCTGGTGGCCTCACCTTGGGGGGGGGAGGGAGGGTTAGAAACCCAAGGCCAGACTGTATCACCGTCCCAAGATGACAGGTGGAAAAACACACAAGCCGGGAGACAGGCTACACTCGCCGGTGAAAGCACCAAAACTCCCCGCACCAGCTGTCCCTCATCCCCCACCTTACAGGTCCCTTTCCCCCACCAAGCTGGGGCCATCGTGTGGGACAGGACTGCCTGGCTCCTCGGGCAGCTTCTGGAGCACCCCCGCTGTGCGATGGGAAAGGTTAAACTCCCCAGGGGTCGGGAGAGATGGGAGCGGCCGGCTGCCGGAGAAGGGACAGTAATTCCGGGAGGAGGTCTTTGGGATGGGAAGGAAGGGCAAGGAGAGTAAGGAATCATGAGCAAGTTATCCGTGTCTCTAAGGAGCCCCCCACCCCCACCCCGAAAGAAAGACATAGGGGGACGATAAGGACCGGAGGGCTCCAGGGGTTGAGGATAGAAGTGAATGCCCTGAATTTCAAAAGTCTCAAAATGGGTATTGGGAGACAAGACGTCTACGGTTCCCGGGGAGTATGGTCAGTGAGGAGGGAACTCTAGGAGTTTATTTGGGTTCCCCAGAACCAGGTATCTGAGGGAAGCTTCAAAAGGGGTTATGTGGTTCTGGAAGACGAAACAGAGGGTCGAGAGCGGACTACGTGGAGCAGGAAAGGGGGTTGTGTGGGCCCGGGTAGGCGTGTCCGAGGAGAGGGAGCAGGTGCAGCTTATCTGCGTCCCCCAGTCCCGGGTCCCCGGTTAGGTCAGCAGTACGTTATCTGGGTCTCCAGGGAGTCGGGGGGTCGGGAGTGGGGGACCCTCAGGGCTGCGTCTCCGGGTCTCGGAGAGGAGGGGGCCGGTGGGGTTTCTTCGGGTCCACCGGACGCAGGTATCGGGCCAGGGAGATCCCTCTGGGCCTCTGCGGGCCCGGGTTGGCGCAGAAGGGGCCCCCGGCCAGGGGTGTGGGCGACCGCGCTGAGCGGCCCGGCATGAGGGGCGCCCCCGCCCCGGGTGCCGGGCGCGCGGGCGCAGCGAGACGACCTCCCGCCCCGCTCCCCGCCGTCCCCCGGGGCCCTCGCCGGGACTCACCGCGCTCGGGGCCCCGCGCTGCGGGCCGGGCCGCGCTCGGGCTCCGCCAGGCCCGCTCAGGCCCCGGTAGTGGCGGCGGTCGGGCCATTGTGCGGTGCATTGTGGGAGCCGCGCGAGCGGGCGCTCGGGCCGTGGAGGGGGCGGTGCCGCGGGCTCTCTATGGTCCCGCCCGCCGGCCAGCTAGAGCGGCCGGGGCGGCGCGCGGGCGGCGCGCGGGGGCCGCCGGGAGCAGGGCGGACGCTCGCGCCCCTCCTCCTCTCCCCGCCTCCGCGCCGCGGCGCGCTCGGGCTTCGGAGCCGAAATGGGCGCCGCCGCGTGGGCATCGCCGCCCCTGCCGCTACGCGTATCTCTCCTGCTGCTGCTTCTGCCGCTCCCGGGGCTGCCCGAGGGCTCCTGGGACCCGGCAGGTTACCTGCTCTACTGCCCATGCATGGGTAAGGCCTCCTGAGCCCTCTCCTCAAATGGGGAAACTGAGGCCCGGAGAGGAGAAGCCACTCCTCCGGGGCGCCCAGAGACACCTTGACAGGTCCAGGAAAGAACCCCCGCGCGGGGCCCGGCCTGCCCCTCGCTTCTCTGCCCCAGTTGCAAGGGCACTGAGGGGCCTCTGTATTCACCTTTCCGTTTGGCAGATGAGAAGACTGAGGCCAGGAGAGGTTAAGTGTCTTGCGCAAGGTTTAAGCTAGCCCGGAGTCCAGTGAATGGAGTTAGTGCGGCAGGACTTGACGTCACTGACCCAACCCTGGTTCTGGGCTATTCTTTCATTAATTCAAATATTTGTAGGGCACTTACTCTGTGTCCAGCCCTGTTCTCTGCTCTGGGGATGTGGCAGTGATAAGACAGAAAACTCCATGCCCTTGTAGAACCTTCATTTAGTTGAGGAAGACAGACAATAAAAGAAACATAAAAAATAAGTAATGACAGAGTATCCTAGAAGAGGATGAATGCTATGGGTAAATAGAGAAAGGTAAGGGAAAATAGAAGAGCCGGTTAAAGGGTGCAATTTAAATGGGGCGGTGGATCATCATTGTAAAAGTCAATCCTTCTTAAAATTCTCCAGACTCCTGACCACAGTGGTTTGGCCCTGCCCATATCCACCGCTGCCCTCTCCCCAGATCCTCCAGCTGCAGCCACATTTGTCGCCTTTCTGTTCCTCACACGTACTCAGGACCTGCAGCCTGGACTGTTCCCTCTGCCTAGAACACCCTTTTCACTGCCAGACCCGCTCCTTCCCATCCTCAGGTCATAGCTTAAATGTCACCAGAAAGGACTTCGCTGACCTCAACCCAAATAATCTCCTCCTTAGTGTTTTCATCACCAAAGTTTTTTCTTGAAATTATCAAAATTTATCACTATATATTTGTTTACATGTTTAATGTCTCCCTAGCTGGACTGTGAGTGCCATGAGGGCAGAGACCTTGTCCTTCTTGCTCACTACTGTATTCCAGCACCTAGCAGAGAGCCTGGCACATAGTGGCCTCTCAATAATATTTGGGGAATGAATGAATGGATGCCATGCTGGGGATAACGAAAAGAGTCAGACACGGTCGTTCCCCTGAGGCATTCACGGGCTGAGGAAACAGCCAGTACAAAGGCCAGGAAGTGGGAAAAGACATTCTAGGAAAAGTGAAGAACCCTAAGTAACTCCAGTCCGAGGAGGGGGACTGAGTATGGCAGGTGAGGCATTCGAGTTGCCCCTTTATGCACAGGGGAGTGGAGATAGAGGTGGAAAGGCACTCCTGACTGAGGGAACAGCAAGAGCAAAGGCACGGGGTGGGGATGGGAAGTGTAGAGCATGTTTGGGAAACAGCAAGGAACCTGGAGTGGCTGAGGCAGACAGGGCAGGGCCTGTGGGCCTTGACTGTCAGACACTGGGGTTCAGACTTGATCCCATCCTGCCAGCTCCTCTGGCTCTCTTTGGTGTCCTGGCCGTCCCAGCTCTTGGCTCCACATCCTGTCTGAGCCCTGCATGCCCCATGCCCTCAATGCCCCAGCCTCACTTCACCCACAATTTACCATCCAGGGCGCTTTGGGAACCAGGCTGATCACTTCTTGGGCTCCCTGGCATTTGCAAAGTTGTTGAACCGCACCCTGGCTGTACCCCCTTGGATTGAGTACCAGCATCACAAGCCTCCCTTCACCAATGTGAGTACCTCCCACAGACCTTAGCCCTTGTCCACCCTTCCCCAATGCTGTTCACCTCTGCTTGACCCTGAGTCCTTCTCTGTGCTTTACCTTCCACACCTCTGAGCTTGCCCTACCCCCACCCAGAACTGTCTTCTCTGGAATAACAGTGGCTAACAGTGCCTGTCTGCCAGGCACTGTTCTGAGCACTGCATGAAGATGAGCTCTTTTCTCCCTCATCACATCCCTGTGAGGAAGCTGGAGTTTAGAGAGGTTAGGTAACTTGCCCAAGGTCACACAGCTTGTGAGTTGTAGAGCTGGAATTCAAGCCCATGTCTGTCTGACTCCAGAGCCTGTGACCTGAACCTAATGCCCCATTTCCAGCCCTGGTTGGTCCCACCCTCTGTACGTCCCACTGGTCAAAGGGTAATGGGTGCTGCTGTCAGTTTTGAAGAAGAAACTGAAACACAGGTTAATTAATAATGTGTCCAAGGCCACAAACCCAGGCAGTCTGGCTCCAGAACCACCTCTTCCCCATCAAGGGGCTCCCTTAGCATGGTGATGCTCAGCATCCTCTGGCTCCTTGCTTATTCTTTGTGTCTTCCGCTGGTCCTGTGTCTGCCTTCGTTCACTTTGTATCCATCGGGGCCTCGCAGTAAGAACTGAATTAAAATTTAATGAATTGACTTTAAAAGTTTTTAATATACTTCAGAAATTATATTTAGTATGTACAAAACACTGTATTTCATTCTTATAGTCTTTTCTCTGCATAGCTTTTATTTTTTCCTTTGCATACCTGTATTTAGAGAGGTTTTTAACAGTTAGAGGTTAAGAGATCATAGCCTGGCTGGGCCACTTACTAGCTGTGTATCTTGGGCAGGATACTTGACCTCTTTGTGCCTGTTTCCTCATCTTTAAATCAACTGAGCTCATTGATGTAAAATTTGTAGGACACAGGAAATCTTCAGCAACGGGAGCCGTTGGTGTTCAGATTTTTTGCATTCACTGATGTGGTTTAGACGTTGTCCGTTCATCTCCCTCTGCCTTGCCTGCTTTCTCTCACCTTGCTTCCTCACCCAAGAGTGTTTTGGAGTCTCCATGTCTTGCTTTCTATGGGTTACTCAACCTGTCCCAATTGGGCTCCCCTTCCCCACTGGGACCTTTCTCACAGAGGTCACCAGGGACCTCAAAATCGCCAAAGCCAGGGGTCATTTCTCAGTCTTTATCTCAACTGATGACCTCCCAGTGGCACCTGGCCCCGTGAACCTCTGTCATTCTTGAACTTCCCTATTCTCCTGGCTTCTAAGACACAGCCTGTTCCTGCTTCAGCCCTGACCCCTCAGTATTTTCCTCTTTGTGCTGTATTGGGGGCCCCTCTCTCTCCACTCACTGTTTGAATGTTGGTGTGTCTCCTCTTTCTGTTTGCTTATTGGTTGTGTGACCTCAGATGAGTTATCTGGATTCTGTCTGCCTGGGTTTCTTCATAAATAAACTGGAGATGGTTGTATTCCTACATCTTAGAATCAGATGAGCAACCCCATGATGTGCAATGAATACAGCAGCTGGCACTAACTTGGCACTCAATAAATATTGTTGCTATTATTACCATTATTTGCTTTGCTATAAATTTCTGTTGACTCTTGTGGCTTTCACTCTTCTCCACATACCTCCTAAATTTATCTATGGCCTAGACTCTTTGACCACAGACCTGTGTTTCTAACTCCTAGACCCTTGAGTCTACTTGCATGTCCCATAGATGTCTCAAATTCTCAAAGCCGGAACTGAACTTGGCAGCTTTCCCCTTCTGTGTCACCTGTGTCACCACCTATATTCCCAGCCTTAGTTTCTGTCACCTCCATTCACCTGGATACCAAGCCAAGGACATAGAAGTCACCCCAATTGCCTCCCTTTACCCTCTGCTTCACCCTCCTTTACATCTTCTGACCTGTCTGTGTCTCTCCATCTTCATTTGGACTTGTGAGAGATGCTCAAAAGTACATATTGAATGAATACTTGAACAAATCAAAGGACTATCGCAGTAACCTCCAATTCTTCTCCTTCCTCTTAATCTTACCATTAATACATTCTCTCCTCCACCACCACAGTGATCTTTCAAAAAGGCAAAGCATGTGTTATTTCTGCTTAAATTCCTTCAGCAAGACCTTGTTGCTAACAGTTAAAATTCCCAAAGTCTGTGCCATTGCAATGCCAGTGGCTCATGCAAGAAGGGTGCAGTGGTTAAATCAGTTTGGGAAATTATATTCTCAATTTCCCATCCCCCCAAAATTGGAGATTCAAAACGCACATCAGCGTGTTAGAGGCCCTGAGAAGTCTTGTAGTAAAGAAACCAGCTTGGGCCAGCCTGGTGGCGCAGCAGTTAAGTTCACACGTTCTGCATCTCAGCAGCCCTGGGTTTACCGATTTGGATCCCGGGTGCGGACTTGGCACCGCTTGGCAAAAGCCATGCTGTGGTAGGCATCCCATGTATTAAGTAGAGGAAGATGGGCATGGATGTTAGCTCAGGGCCAGTCTTCCTCAGCAAAAAGAGGAGGATTGGCAGCAGTTAGCTCAGGGCTAATCTTCCTCAAAAAAAAAAAAAAGAAACCAGCTTAACACAGCATTTCCCAAGCCTGTTTAATTCTGGAGCCTTTTTATTGCAGAACTCTTTATCCACATGAACTAGTGAAACGTGCTTGGGAACCCTGACCTATAGGGTAAAGTCTAAATTTTATTCCATGATGTTCTAAGAAGTTTTTTAATCTAGAAAAATATAGAGATTAGGGGCCAGCCAGCCCTGTGGGCATAGTGGTTAAGTTTGTGTACTCTGCTTCAGTGGCCCAGGGTTTGCTGTTTCTTATCCCAGGTGTGGACCTACACACTGTTTATCAAGCCATGCTGTGGTGGCATCCCACATACAAAATAGAGGAAGATTGGCACAGATGTTAGCTCAGGGCTAATCCTCCTCACCGAAAAAAAAAAGAGAGATGAATACAATCACCATCCATGCACCCACCACTGAAGTGATAATTATAAACATTTTCTCATTTTTGCTGCATCTTTTCTTTTTGTTGATAAAAGACATACAATGTTACAGATAAAGTTATTAAAAGGTACAATGTCTCTTGGCTCCTGAAGCTAATCGTAGCTCTTCTCCCCACCCCTACCCCCAGAGACAACCACTGTTGCTGATTTAGTGTCTTTGGTGTGACTCATTCCGGGTTCTTTCCTATACTTCTGCTGTGGCTCTGAGCATCCTTGTGCCCATCTCCTGGTGCAAAGTACAAAAACTTCTCAAGGGCAAATACTTAGAGATGGAAGGAGCATTTTAAGTTCTATTAGATGCTGCAAGGTTACATTCCAAAGTGTTTGTTCCAAAATGTACACTTGTACCAGCCATGTACGAAAATGCCCATTTCCCCACATCCTTTCCAACAATTAGAGTTAAGCTGTTAAATTTCACTAGTCTCATGGGTAAGAAGTGATGTCTTGTAACTGTAATTTGCTTTGACCCAATTACTAGTGAAGTTGCACACCTTTTGAGTATATTGGCTCTTTGGGTTTCCTTGGCTGTGAGTTGTTCTCTCCTGTCCTTTGCCCATATTTTCTCTTTTGTCATTTGTCTTTTTTCTTATGGATCAGCAGGCATTTTTTTAATACAAGGAATACTACTATTTTTTCTTTAGTTTGCAGGTATCTTGTCCCAGTCTGTCTCTGTCCTAACTTTGGTGTCTTTTGCCACAAGTTTCCATTGACATGTGGTCTGAGCTGTCTGGGTCTTGGAGTGTATGGCTGTAATAAATGTCTCTAAAATAGCCACTAGGAAACTGAGGAGGGACCCTCGCTCCTCCTTTTCCCCCTTTCCTGTAGCTCCATGTGTCCTACCAGAAGTACTTCAAGCTGGAGCCCCTCCAGGCCTACCATCGCGTCATCAGCCTGGAGGACTTCATGGAGAAGCTGGCACCCACCCACTGGCCCCCTGAGAGGCGGGTGGCATACTGCTTTGAGGTAGCCGCCCAGCGAAGCCCTGATAAGAAGACGTGCCCCATGAAGGTGGGTCTTGTGGGTTTGGGGGGCTCTTTCTGCCTGTTTCATGCTCTCTAGGCCCCCGAGACACTGGGTAATGGCAGTATGCGGGGGGAGACACCAGAAGGGCTTAGAGTAGAAAGATGGAGACTTAAGTTCCATTTCTGGCATTTGTCAGTGGTGTTACCTAAGCAGAGGACTTTGTTTCCTCTGAGCCTTTATTTCTACCTACAAAATAAAGATGCCATTCCCAGCTCTGTCTCCCTTATAATGTGTCATGGGGGCCAGGTGTAAGGGTACTTTGTACACTGTAAAGTGCCATATCAGTACTAATAACTAATACTCACATAGCACTTACTACATTGCCAGTACCATGCTAAGAGCTTTACACATCTTAATCCACTTAATCCTCTCACTGCTCCATGAGGAAAGTACTATTAATATCCCCATTTTCCAGAGAGGACACTGAGTGTGACACAGAGAGGTTCAATATTTTGCCCAAGGTCACAAAGCAAACAAGCGGTGGAGCTGGGATTCAACCCTAGCTAATTTGACTCCATTGTCCACCCTCCTAACTTGTATACTGCCCTGCCTCTCAGCAGGTAAATGAGAAGCTATCATATTTTGTAGTAGAAATTTGTAAATGTCTGCACTTTAGGAATAAGACAATCCCCAATATGTCTTTCAATGCTCATGTTGAAGTCTGGGGTGGGTGGTTGGAGGAGCCACGAATTTTGAGAAGGGAGACCTGGCTTATTGCCCCAACACTGCCCTCACTTGCTGTGTGAGCTTGGGCAAGTTCCTTACCTTCTCTGGCCCCTGGTCTCCATCTTGAAAATGAGGGCATTGGATCAGCTGGTCTTGAAAGTCTCTTGAAGCCCTTGTCCCAGTTCCAAGGTTCACTTCCTCCCCAGACCCCCACCAATGCTGCAGGGTTAGTAGAATGTGGCATGTGAGCAGGAAAGACTCCTTCAGACACTGTGGTGAACATCTCCTGCTGGAAACCACACTGGAGGCAGGGCTGCCCTCCTCGGCCCCAGCCCAGGAATTACAAGGTGACATTCCTACTGAGCCATCCGATGAGGGTGATTCAGCCTGAGTTAATCACCCAGGGTTGCCCCATCACCGTTCCTTGGCCCCATCCCCAGTTGGCTTCCCCTCCCCCGCAGTAAGCCTTTGACGCTCTCTCTCTGCAGGAAGGAAACCCCTTTGGCCCATTTTGGGATCAGTTTCATGTGAGTTTCAACAAGTCGGAGCTTTTTGCAGGCATTTCTTTCAGTGCCTCCTACAAAGACCAGTGGATCCAGAGGTACTTGGAGGGGCAGCATTGCTGGGTTTAGGGGAGGGGCATGGGGCTCATGGACCTTCCTGACCCTCTCCCCCTCTACCACACCCTGATGTATGAGACCAAAGGTGCAGCCATTCTGTCTGTTGAACTTGGGATCCTATGTGATCTGTTCCCATCTCAGCGCCTGACACGGTGGGACGTTGACCTGCCACAAGGTTGAGCAACAGTTTATCAGCCGATAAAGGATGTCATAAAAAGGCTATTATATAGTCACATGAGTCTCGATTTCCTCCTCTAGGCGTGAGAATCACTCCCCTGTTACCTTCCTTTTCACAAGGTGAAAATTCGAAGCAGCTTCTAGAGAAGAACAACTTCAGGTGCAGACTGAGAAATGATGTCATCCTGATAATAATTGAATTTGCTTTATTAATTGCGTTCCAGTAGGCCCTATTAAAAAAAATAGGTTAGCAGGGCATAGGCACAGGCTGTGAAATATTTATAGAGCATCTGTCGTGTATGTGACAGAGTACTCAAAGACCAGAGGTGATATATAAAAATGAGGAAGACCCAGCCTCAGCCTTCAGGGAGCTACAGTCTAGTTGTAATGATGATAGCTAACACAGTGCATTTGCCCTTGATGCTATAGCGTGGCAGAAAAGAGCGTGGGCTTAGAGGTCAGTGTTGGCTTAGGAGCTTATGAATTCATGCGTGGTCACAGCATGTGGCATTTACTGGCCAAAGATAGACTGATGTAGAGAGACGAGCACAGGCTCAGGATAAGACAGACCTGAGCTCTGACCCAGCCCTGCATCTCTCTCAGGTGACCCTGAGCAAGCCACTCCAGCTGTCTGGACTGAGTTTCCTCCTTGGTTTAATGGAAGGAGCACTATGGTATCTGCCTCCTAGTCTATAAAGCACACAGCACACAGGAGGGGGCCAACCAGTGTTAGCTGTTACTTTTATTATTTACATGCTTTATTTTATTTAAGCCTTTGAGAAATGTCATGAAGTGGGTATTATGATCCGTTTCCATTTGAAAGGTGAGGAAACTGGGCTCAATGAGGTTAAATAACTTGCCCAAGATAATGCAGCTGTTCAGCGGACAGCTGGGGTCTGTATGTAAGTCTTTAGTAGCTAGTAAGAGCTAATGTTTATTTAGTGCCTGCTATGTGCTAGACACAGTTCTAAGTCTTCACTTCACCACCTAAGTCTTCTAAGGTGATGACTTATTTAATCCTTCCACAAGTCTGTGGGACAGATGTTGTTGTCATCTGTGCTTTACACGTAAAAAATTTGAAGCAGAGAGGAGTGAAGTTACTTTCCCAAGGTCACACAGCTTGAAGTGGCAGAACTGGGATTTGAACCCAGGCAGTCTGACTCCAGAGCTCCCCTTCTTAATCACCGTGGAGAAAACAGCTGTGCCTTTAACAGCGGGCAGTTCCTATTTGCCCTCAGACTTGCCCTCAGAGCTAGTTCATGAGCTAGTGAGGATGCTCAGTCATGGCAGATTCTAATCCCCCCTCATTGTTGATCCCAGATAGGACATTCCCTTTTGATCACTGGCTTGGTTCTCCCCATTCAGCTCTGAAAGACTGGACCTGTGGCCAGAAGGCAGACCTGCCCTCCAAGAATGGAGATTTGCCCCTTTTGACAAAATGCCAGAAAAAAAAAAAATCACACCGGCTCTAAAAGCAGCTCCAAAAGCAAATTCCAGAAAGCCAAAAAAAGTGGACAATCCTGGTCGGAAGAGAAGGGACAGTGCTGCGTGGATGCACCAGTCAGGGAGTGCTGCTGAAATGCTTGTCCGTTGCTCCATAGTCATGTTTGAGTTCGTTGAGTTGTAGGAATTGGGTGAGGCCTTGGGGAAGCTTGTGCCTTACAGCCAAGTTTTTGGGAAAGGAAGTCTAACAGGGAAGATGAGGTCCCTGGAGCCTGTGTGAGAGAGTTAGGGCCGCCTAGGCAGCTGGCTTCCTTCATGCCTGTCTCCCTTCCACACCTGTTTTAGAAGCCCCTCCTGAGTGTCAGGCACTGGTCTGGACTCTGGGAATACAGGCAAGAATAAGGCAGATAAAGCCTCTGCCCTGATGGAGCTGAGCCTAATAGGGGAGACAGTGAATAAACTTACGTTAGACAGTTCCAGAAGACATAGTGCTATGAAGGACGAACAGGTGATGTGTGATTGGCAGGGCTGAGACCTTGTCTTCATCAGCTCAGGCTGCTGTAACAAAATACCGCAGAGGAGGGGGCTTAAACAACAGATGTTTATTTCTCAGTTCTGGAGGCTGGGAAGTCTGAGATCAGGGTGCCAGTATGATCAGGTTCTGGTAAGGACTTCTTGGCTTGCAGGCAGGGCCTTCTTGCTGTATCCTCACATGTTGGAGGGAGAGCAAGTTCTCTGGTCTCTTACAAGGCTGCTAATCCCACCATGAGGACTCCACCCTCGTGACCTGCTCTAAACCTAATCACCGTGCAAAGGCCCCACCTCCTGATACCGTCACACTGGGGCTAAGGGCTTCAACATGTGGATTTGGGGACCCACAAGCATTCAACCCATAACAGACCTAAAGGATGAGGAGCCAGCCCTGCAAAGAGCTGGAAGGGAAGGTAGTTCTTCTTGGCGGGGACCTTGAGCACAGAGGCTCTGAGACAGGAACAAGCTTCGTGTGGCCAAGGGGCAGGAAGAAGGCCAGTGTGGCTGGTGTGGGGCACATGAGGACAATGGTAGGCTGTTCCTGTCCTCTGCTGCTGCATAATAAATCACTCCAAAACTTAGTGGCTCAGCAGCAATTTATTAGTATATCTCAGAGTTCTGTGGATTGACTAGGCTTAGCCGAGGAGTTCTTTTGTTTGTGTTCTATTTATCCATTTTCTTCATGGAATCCCAACCGGATAAAATTTCAATCCGCATTAGACATCTAATTTCTTGGAATGAATACCGTTTAGAATATCCACCACAGACTTGATGGGAGATTCGTTGTTTTTTTTTTTAATAAAGAAAAAAACTAAATTTACTCATAATCCTATCACTTCTCAAAAAAACACTGCTAGCATTTTGATATATATACTTCCATTCTCCAGACATTTTTGTACACATATACATACCTATACGTATTAACGTAAAACAAAATTATTATATATAGTTTGTCATCAATTATTTAACGATCTTTTCTGAAGAGTAATTAATATCAATATTTACCAGATTCGTAAATATTCTTGACAGGATTAGTTCTAAACATATAAAAACATGAGATTTCAAAAAATGGTTACTGGTGTGTATATGTGTATTTATGCCAGTGGAGTGTCCCCATGTATTTATTTAACCATTTTTAAGTGTACAATTCAGTGGCATTAAGAACATTGATATTGTTGTACGACCATCACCACTATGCATCTCCAGAACTTCTTCATCATCCCAAACAGAAACTCTGTACCCATTAAACAGTAACTCTCTGTTCCCCTTCCCCGGGCCCTGGTAACCTCTATGCTACCTTTCTCTCTCTATGATTTTACCTATTCTAGGAACTTTATATAAATGGAATCATATAATATTTGTCCTTTTGTGTCTGGCTTATTTCACTTAACATAATGTCTTCAGGGTTCACCTGTGTTGTAGCATATATCAAAATCTGAATAACAGTCCTTTGTAGGTATAGACCACATTTTGTTTATCCATTCTTCTGTTGATGGACACTTGGGTTAGCTGGGCACTTCTTGCTTGTGGTATCATGTGGCTGTAGTCAGCTCTCGTCTGGGGCTGGAGTCATCTGAAGGCTTGACTGAGTTTCATGTCCAAGAGGGCTCATGCTGGCTGTCGTCCGGGAGCTCAGCTGGAGCAGTCAGTTGGCATGCATGCACTTGACCTCTCCATGTGGCTTGGACTTCTGACAGCATGGTAGCTGGGTTCTGAGGGCGCATCCAGGGAGTGAGTGTTCCAAGGGACAGGAGGTGAAAGCTGCTGGCCCGCTGAAGCTTGGACCTAGCAGCTGAACAGTGTCACTTCCACCAGATGCTATGGGAGAGGATATAGAGCCCACCCACTGGGAAGAGATTCAAAGAATTAATCTTCCACATAGGGCAGGAGATTGGAGCAGTGGGCAGTGGGCAGACCATGCAGGGCTTTGCAGGCCCTGGTGAAGCAATCTGATAAGCCTGTGAATGCTTTGTAGGGGTGAGTTTGAGGGTGTATGTATTTTAGACATTTTGTAGAATAGTGGACACTTACTTGCTGTAGAATATTGTCCTTTGGGGGTTGGGTATGGGTGTAGGGAGAATGACATTGGAAAGGGTCAGGCTCTTCTCCGGGCTCACCATGTGGCTAGGCAGATTGCTTCCCTTCTCTGGCCACAGTGCTCCATTTATAACATGAAAAGGGTGAGTAAGATCATTGGTTTTCAAACTGTTCCTCAGAGTTCTTGAGAAGTGCCTGTGGTGCCACGGGGGCAGCAGTGGGGGCCAAGTTGGAGGAGTCCAGCTCCCCTCCTTCAACCAGTAACCCTCTTGTGTATCAGCTAAAGGTTTTGATAGCCACAAGTCTAATTTGGGCTACTTGTAACAAGACCGAAAACAATAGCAGACTAACAAGATAGAAGTTTGTTGTTTTCTTAAGTTAAAAAGTACTGGAGTATTCAGCCCAGGACTGCATGGCAGTGCCGCTGTGTCCTCAGGAATTAGCACCCATCTCTCTGCTCAGCGTCCCAGTACTTGCTTTTTCCTCAGTGTCACCTCAGGGGCAAGATGACTGATAAAACTTTAGCCATCAGGGGCTGGCCCCGTGGCCGAGTGGTTAAGTTCGTGTGCTCCGTTGCAGGCTGCCCAGTGTTTCGTTGGTTTGAATCCTGGGCGCAGACATGGCACTGCTCATCAAACCACGCTGAGGCGGCGTCCCACACGCCACAACTGGAAGGACCCACAACAAAGAATATACAACTATGTACCAGGGGGCTTTGGGGAGAAAAAGGAAAAAAATAAAATCTTTTTAAAAAAAAAGCTTTAGCCATCATACCCTTGCCCCAGGCAGCTGAAAGGACAAAAGGAGTAGAAGAAGGATACATCCTGACCTTTTTAAGGAGTCTTCCTTCCAGGTTGCTTACAGCTCATTGGCTGGTATTTAGGCACATAGCCATACCTAGCTACAAGAAGTACTAATAAATATCTTTATTTGGAGCTGCTTTGTGTCCAGCTGAAGATTGGGTTCTAGGGGAAGGGGCTAAGAGGTATTTCTTCCCCATGAAGTGATTTCTGAGGATCTTTCCAGCTCTGCTGGTTCTGAGTCTATAAATACCCTGGTGGATGTTTAATTCAACAGATATTTATTACACATTTGCTGTTGGAAGGCTGTGGACCATCATGCCGAACCATTCTTGTAGTATGAAGGTAACAGGTATTTGAGCACGTGGCTTGTCTTTCTCCCAGGCTGCAGCCTCCCTGAGAGGATATAGACAGGTGATGTGTAATTGGCGGAGCTGACACCTGAAGGAAGATGAGGAGCTAACTGTGCAAAGAGCTGGAGGGAAAGGTAGTTCGTCACAGCAGGGCCGTGGAGAGCAAGGCTCTGGCTCGTTTGTGTCCCTGCATCCTCTGCATTCTGCATGGTATGCGTCCACTGGTGTACATCCATAGGTGTATCCGGGGCACAGAAGTGGATGCTGTGCATAGAGAAGCACCAGGTTGTTGGGAGATCTCAGTGGAGTAGCTGTGGTGGTGAAGAACCCCAGAAGTTCTCTGCGCCCAGCAGCAGGAGAGTGTGCCTTCTTCAGCTGGGTAGTGACCAGGCTAAGGGCCTGACCTAGGGTGGACAGTTAGGGGGCAGATGGAGGTGGGCAAGCTTTCTTTCCAATTAAGACCCTTAGTCCCCTCTTTCTTTCCAAACAACACTCTCATTGGGAGCAAATGAGCTCACCAGTCTTGGCTTCTTGCTGCTTTTCAGGTCAGAGCTGATGTCCCATTAGGACAACTGTGTGCTGATCCAGATCTGGTGGGAAGGTGGATTTTCCAAATCTGGAATTCACCAAGGGCCAGCAGCAGTTTCCTTCCAAGAGGTCCGAGAGGGCACAGATCCTGATTTGATCTTAATGTTCCAAGTTGCTGGGAGATCACAAACTCCTGCTTTCCTTTTGAAATCCTTTAAGGTGGCATCTAAAAGGAACTTGGCCAAGGGCCTGGCCCATATTAGATGCTCAGTTAATATTTGCTGCTTCTTCCTCTAACCCCTGAGAACCTAATCTGGTCTTTCTGGTGAGATCCCTGAATCCTTCTCATTTGTTCATTCTCTGCAAAAATACTTATTGTATTACTGTGTATTGAGACCTGTGCTAGGAGCTGGAAATCAGAAGAATAAGCCACAGAGTCAGCTCTTGAGGTACTTGTTGACTGGGGTGGGGAAGATGGGAGTGAGGAATAGTAGTTAAGAACATAGATTCTGAAGTAGACTGCCTGGATTCAAATCCCAACTCCACCAATTTCTAGCTTTGTGACCATGGGCACGTTACTTAACCTTTCTGTGCTTCAATTTCCTCATCTGTCAAATGAGAATAACAATAGTACTACCTCACAGAGCTCTTATGGGAATCAAATGAGTTAGTATACACAAAGCAATTGGAACATTGCCTATCAAATTAAGGCTCAATAAATGATTCACATGTATATACATACAAAATTAAAATCTGACAAGATGAGCATTATATAGAGTCAGGCCATGGAACACTTGCTTGTTGCATCCTTGTCACAGGCCCTGGACCATGTGTGTGGGAATCATGGTGAACAAGACTGCTGGGGCCCCTACCCTCATGGGCTGACAGTGGAGACGGGAAGAAGTTGTTGAGTACATCAGTGTGCCTAGGGCGGTGAAGGAGACGTGGGACAGGGAGCCCTCGCCTAGGAGCTGAGGCTTGGTAGTGGTGACTGGTCTTGCGGGTTTGGAAGGTGTTAGCCGGGCGAGGTGTTTGGGTTGGGTGTAAAGAATGAGTGGCATGTCCATTGCAGCACTGTTGTTTGGGTGGAAGATTGGAACCACCTCACTATCCAGCAGGAGGGGACTACATAGGTAAATTGCAGTTTATTTGTGCAAAATGGGAACCTTCAAGAGAAGCTAACGTGATCACATGATCAACGTAGCCAAATCTCTGAAACATAAAGTTGAATTTTTAAAAAGTTGAAATAGGTCATGTACAATATGATGATGATAGTCAGAATTTTCCCAGAGCTTTCTGTGTGCCAAGGGCTATTCTGAATGCTTTGCTTATATTAATCCATTTAATCTTCTCAACAGCCCTATGAGGTAGGAACTGTTATCAGCTCTATTATACAGATAAGGAAACTGAGGCACAGAATGGTTAAGTCACCTGCCAAGTTAGTAAGTGGCACAGTCAACGTTAGAACAAGGCTGCCTAGCTCAACAGCCCATGCTTTTACCGTTACACTGGGTAAAAAGCATTTTTTACATTTATATAAATAGTAAAAGTGTAATCATGTGTAAAACCACAGTACCTTCTGGGAAGAAGAAGAAAAGAAGGAAAAGAGGTGATAGGATAGAGCTTTTGTTTAGATGTGCATTTTTTTTTAAATACTAAGTATTTGTACGAAGCAAAGAATATCTGCTAATTTGAGTCATGGGTATGTGGATCGGTAAATTATTTTCTGTATTTTCCTGTGTGCTTTGAAATATTTAACAATATTTCATTAAAATTTTTATTGAGATAATTGTAGATTGACATGCAGTTGTAAGAAATAATATAGAGAGAGCCCATGTACCGTTTACCCAGTTTCTGCCGATGGTAACATTTGCAAAGCCGGAAACCCGTACACTGTCACAACCAGGGTGATGTCCACCTGTCTTATTCAGATATCCCCAGTTTTACTTGTGCTCACTTCTGTGTGTGTATGTGTGTGTGTATTTAGTTCTATGTGATTTTATCACGTGTGTATGTTCGTGGATCCACCACCACAGTCAAGATATTGAAGAGTTCTAAGATCACAAGGATCCTTGTGTGGCCAGTTTATAACCATACCCACCTCCCTAAACACACACACACACACACACACACACACACTCTCTCTCTCACACTCACACACTCTAGCCCCTGGCCACCACTAATGTCTTTTCATTTATGTTCTCTTCTGTAATTTGTTATTCCGAAAATGTTATATACATGGAATCATACAATATGTAACCTTTTGGGATTGGCTTGTTTCACTTGGCATAGTTCCCTTGAGATCCATCCAAGTTGTTGCCTGGATCAATAGTTTGTTCCTTTTTATTGCAATAGTGTTCCATGGTATGGATGCACCACACTTTCTTTAACCCTTCACTTCTGGAGCGATTTCTGAGTTGTTTCCAGTTTTTGGCTATTATGAATGAAGCTGCTATGAACATTTGTGTACTGGTTTGTGTGTAAATATAGGTTTTTATTTCTCTGGGATAAATGCCTAAGAGTACAGTTGCTGGGTCATATGGTAATTGATTGTCTGGTTTTGTAAGATACTGCCAGACTTTTCCAGAGCGGCTGTGCCTGTTTCATGATTTTAAGAAAAGGATTTTAGCCGGCAGAGAGAAAGCATTCCACGTAGGGGGAAGAAGTCCGAGAGGTCTGGAGTTTGAAAGTGCAGTGTGAGTTTATGGAACATCAGGGTTTCACGTTGCTCAGATATAGCCTGGGTTTAGCTGATGAGGGAACACAGGTTTGCACCTTGTTCATTCAGTCAACAATTTTTACTGAGGTCTTACGTGTGTCAGTTGCTGTTCTAGGTGCCTGGAGGCACTGCTTTCAGAAGCCTGAGTGCAGCAGAAAAGACAGAGGTGAAACAATGACAAGGTGCATAGTGTGCAAGGGAGGAGGAGAGCCTTCAGGAGAGTATGATGGGGGCATCGGCAGACTCTGGTGCTTTCCATGAGGGCGGGGACCATGCCTGTCTTGTTCTCCCCTGGGCCCCAGCACGTAATAGGCAATCGATAAATATGTGTTAAATGTTGAGTGAGTGATCTCATCCAGTGTACACATTCCCTGTTAGTGGGACCTGTCCATTGCCCTCTGGAAGCAGCTGCACATCCCAATCCCGCCATGTGGGTAAAAGGGCAAAGGCTCAGTCCAGACACCCCACCCTGGAGTGAATTACCACACCACAGATTGGAAGCCAGCATGACATACAAAAGGTTGGAATACTCTACTGTAAATTTTTAATTGTTAAACAAGCAAAGAGGGTTGTAAATTCTCTGTGGCGGGACAGTATTGCATAGTGTGCCTCTTGCCGCCGCCAGGGTTTCTTATCAGCCCGTTGGGGTTTCACAACCTCTCCTGCTTCTTGCCTGTTACAGAGGCCCCTGCACAGGGTCTCTGGGGCATGGTGCAATGCCATCCTTTTTCCCGTGGGGGTGGTGGCCAGGCTCTCTGTGCATACGCTGTCTGACTTCCCCTCATCTGTCTTGTGCCTAGATTTTCTCCAAAGGAACATCCAGTGCTTGCTCTGCCAGGGGCCCCAGCCCAGTTCCCCGTCCTAGAGGAACATAGGCCGCTCCAGAAGTACATGGTATGGTCAGATGAGATGGTGAGAACAGGAGAGACGCAGATCCGTACCCACCTCATCCGGCCGTACGTGGGCATTCACCTGCGCATTGGCTCTGACTGGGTAACTTCCCCCTTCCTCTCATGGCTGGGTTGGACATATCCCTAAGCAGGGCTCATGCCTGTGGGGGTTGAACAGTGAACCTGTTACACCAAGTCCCAGCCAGGGCAGAGAGGTCTCAGTCAGCCAAGTCCATCGGACTGTGCCCCATGTTCCTGCCATAGACACATCAGAAATGTGGCTCCAAAGTGCTTGCTTGCCAGCTCCTTTTTTTTTTTTTTTTTTTTTTGCTGAGGAAGGTTTTCCCTGAGCTAACATCTGTGCCAATTGTCCTCTATCTTGTATGTGGGTCACCACCACAGCGTAGCTGGTGAGTGGTGTAGGTCCACGCCTGGGATTCAAACCCACGAACCCAGGCTGCCAAAGTGGAGAGTGTGAGCTTAACCACTACACCACAAGGCTGGCCCCACGAGCTCCATTTTTAACAGTTGCCATTATCATTTTGCAGATGAATAAACTGAGATATCAAGCTAGACCATGGGTCAGGCAGCAAGCCAGAGAAAGACCCAGAGCTCAGGAGTCCTCGTCTCAGCTCAGTGTTTAGCCAGTAGACTCCTTGTTGAAAAACTAGCTCTAGAGATTGGGTGGGGCTCCCAAGAAATGAAGATGTCATCCTCCGAATCTGGAGGCTGCTTAAGTGTGCAGAAACCTCCTCAGGTTATCCTCCGTGTGAAAATAACAGGAGCAACGTAGACAAACTCCTTAATTTACATAAGAAGATATGTATATTTATGTATGTATGTTAGAAATGCTCATTGTCGAAGACTTGAAAATTACTGAAAAGTAGAGAAATTAGGTCAAAATTCATTCAGAGTCAATTGAGGAAGTAATCACACATTTACCCACTAGGCACCCTTCTTGCCCCGCTTCCACAGAGAAGGGCAGCCAGGCCTGGAATAGTTGATGAGTGCACTCAGCTAAACTTTCAAAGAACAGGTAGTTCCCATCTATACTTTCCTCAAACATAAAAAGGTATAAGATGCTGTTTTTCAAAAAGCTAGCAAAATGCTAATACCAAATGCAGATAAGGGTGACTCAGAAAAGTACAGCCCATTCTCCCTGAGGAACATAGATGCACAGATCCTGAGTGAAATACGAGCAAGTAAAATCCGATAACATATTAAGAATATACAACATAAACAAGTAAAATTTATCCCAGGAATGCAATTAAATTCACTATATTAACACCCAAAGAAGAAAAATCATATAACCATCTCAACAGAGGCCAAGAAAGCATTTGATAAAAGTCAACACTCATTCATGATTAAAAAAAAAACTCAACCAACCAGGAATAGGAGGGACCCACCTTAGCTTGATAAAGGCTATCTCTCTGAAACCCACAGCAAACATGGACGTCGTGGGAGCTATCAGAAGCGTTCCCACTGAAGTCAGAAATCAGATAAGGCTGCCCATTATCACCACCATGGTTCAGAATTCTACTGGAGGTCCCAGATAATGCAGTAAGGGCAAGAAAAAAAATTTGTAAAAAGCCAGTATCCCACTACCCAGAAATAACCACTGTTACTGTTTTGATGCATTTCCCTCTTCCCTCAATGCTTTTTTAAAAAACAGGGCTGAGCTCCTCCTATATTGCCTGCCTTTTTCCACTTACCAGCTTTTGCTTCTGGGGTTCTGGGCCAGTTGCTGTCTTTAACTCTGTCCCCCACCCCATCCCACAGAAGAATGCCTGCGCCATGCTGAAGGACGGGACTGCAGGCTCCCACTTCATGGCCTCTCCACAGTGCGTGGGCTACAGCCGCAGCACAGCGGTCCCCCTCACCATGACCATGTGCCTCCCCGACCTGAAGGAAATCAGGCGGGCCGTGAAGCTCTGGGTGAAGGCACTGAATGCCCAGTCGGTCTACATTGCTACGGATTCTGAGAGTTATGTGCCTGAGATCCAGCAGCTCTTCAAAGGGAAGGTAGGTGCAGGCCGGTGGGTATGCAGCAGGCAGGGAATCAAAGAAAGAGCCAGGGCGGTCCCAGCGCTCCCACTGCGTGCTTCATGACCTCACACCACCAGGCTTTTGCTTGGACATCCCATTCCTCTCCAGTCTCTACCCTTCTTTCAAACCTCAGCTCAAACACTCCACAGATGCTCTCCGGTTTTTTCTCCACTCCTGTCGCTAATGTGTCCCTACTGGGAGCTATTGTTGCACTTTATCACATCTTCTCTTGGGACGCTTTCTAGACTATGTGAGACTAGGGTAGAAGTGTGTCCTGTTTCTTCCCAGGAGTTGGGGCTCCTTGAAGGTAGGATCCAAGGCTGACTCATGGTTCTATTCCTCAGAGTCTAGACTGGTACGTTGACCTCCTCCAGGTCTGAGACCCCACCCTGCCATCACCAGTGTCTAGGACAGTGCCTAACACGTAGTAGACGCTTGGTAAATGTTTGTTGAATAAGGACGCTGAGAGTGGGCCCTTGGTAGAGATCCAGCGTAGCAGAGAGAGTAAGAGCGTAGACTTTGGAGCCACAGAACGTGGGCTCTATTCACTCTGCAGCCCTGCACAAGTTACTTTACCTCTCTGTGCTTCTGTTTCTTTGTCTATAAAATGAGACTGAGTGTAGTACCCTTCTCATAGAGTGACTGTGAAGATCAGATATAAAGAAATTAAAACAGTTCCAGTACAAAATAAGCGTTCAGTAAAGTTAGTGTCATTGATAGTAGAAGTAGGTGGTTGATGAATAAAGGGAAGGCTCTTTTGTGCTTAGTAAATGCTGAAGGAAGCAGTGAATGTAGGTATTCAGTGTATGACTAAATAGTAGAATGCGCTTGGTGCTGCCTGATTGCAGAGCAGGTAATAAGTATGTATCGATGAAAGGGCTGAATCAGTAGTAAGCGTTCAATAAGACTGTTGAATGAATGAAAGCCCTAAATGCTTGTGCAGACCCTAAAAGGCAGATACCTGCTCTCCAGCAGTGGACACCCTCGGCCTTATGTGGAGGGGCTCTCTCTCTCTCTTCACCCCAGACACAGGCTGGAAGCCGCGGCTTGTGGAGAAGGTGCTGAGTCAGTGCATTCTGGTCTCCCACCCACCCACTTTATAGAAGAGTATCAGAGCTGGGAGACCCCGGAGCGCCTCTGACCCAACCCCTGCGTTTTATAGCTGAGAAAGCAAAGTCCCAAGAAGGGATAGAATTTACCCAAGAGGGCTCAGAGCTAATTATAGTGGGCATGACACAGAGCGGGTAAGTTTCAGGGCGTGGGTGGAATCGCTTGGGGGATTTTGCCATGATTAAACTAGTATTATTTCTTTACTACCTTCCAAATAGCAAGATGATGATTTTTGTTACATCAGAAATCTCTGTGTGACAGCAAAACACTTTCAGCCCCAGTTCTGCCCCCACCCCCACCTCTGTGCTAAGTGGAAGCACTTGGAGAGCCCCAGGGAGTTTTTGTGAGTTTTAGAGTTGATGTGTTTGTTACGCCTTGAGCCTCCTGCCATTTTCTACTTCTTGTTCCCATGCCGCTGCCCTTGTCCTTCCCCACTCCTCAGCCCCCCCTCTCCACAGGCCCAGAGCCCACCCTTCCTGCTGAACTGAGCCTGCTCATTAAGCTGGGCCAGGACTGAGCCAGGGATACTGATAAGCTGGGGGGCTGCCTGCAAGGCTCATGGTCTAGACTCAGGGAAGAGGCTCTGCAGAGAACTATAACGTGCGCCACAAGAGAGGTCCGAGGGTGGAGGTGGGGCTCACTCCCTCGTCCAGTCAACAGATGTTTACTGAGACAGGCCCCAGGCCGCGTGACAAGCAAACCGACTCAGCCCTGGCCCCAGTCAGGTGCAGGAGACGGACATTAATCAGAGTCACTAAGGAGTGAAAACTATAAAGGGAGACGTGTGCTCTGAGGTGAAGGAACTGGTTCTGTGGGAGTGTAGGGCAGAGGAGCCTGTCCTAGCCTGGGGGCCAGAGAGAGCTTCCCCAAGGAGGTGAGACTTGAGCTGCCGGCTGAAGGCTAAATAGGAGTTAACCAGGCAAAGAGACAAGCACCCCACACAGAGGGAAGAGCATGTGCAAAGGTCTTAAGGAGGAGGGAGCTTGGTGTGTATTGGCTGGAGCTCAAGGGATGAGGGGGAGGCATGAGAGGAGATGGAGAGGTAGCCTGAACAGGGCCTTGTGGGCCTCATTCAGGACTTGTCATCTTGATCTGAAGAGCAATAGGGCACCATTTAAGGGTGTTCAGCTTGGGGTGGAGGGCGGGACAGGCAGGTAGGAGTATCTAAGAAAATTTCCTCTGGCTGCTGTGTGGTGAGCAGACCAGGAGGAGAGGCAGCGAGGGGACCAGTGAAGATGCAGGAGATTGTGGTGGTTACCAGGGAGTGGTAATGCATCAAGATAAGGGCTCACCTTTGGAGAATATCTCCGGAATTGATTGGACAGGACTTTAGGCTCCGAGGCATCCAGGCAGCAGAACTGGATGGGTGGGGTGCTCTTTGGTTAGATCAGTTTATTGGGGGAAGCCAAACCTGTCCGGCTAGGGCTTCGTGAGAAAAGTAGAGCTAGAGCTGAGCCTTGACAGTATGGTTGGGATTTTAATGGGAAGGGAGAAGGCATTCCAGGAAGAGAGAACTAACAAGCAGAGGCACAGAGTATGCGTGAGGGGTGTGTTTAGAGTTGAGGCTGGCAGAGGGGAAAGGGTGCTGGGGAAGGGGATGTTCCATGTTGGGGTGGGCCCCGGAGCTGCTGGACAACACTGCTCTCAGATGCCCAACGCTACGTCTTAATCCCCTCTGTGCCTCCTTTTATGTCTGTAACTTCAGCACAGGGGAAGAAGGCTGGGGCTATGGCTGCAGGCCTTGGCTGAGCCAGCCACCTTGGCCTGCACCCTGGCTGAAACGCTCTGCCCTTCCTCCTGCAGGTGAAGGTGGTGAGCCTGAAGCCTGACGTGGCCCAGATTGACCTATACATCCTCGGCCGAGCCGACCACTTTATTGGCAACTGTGTCTCCTCCTTCACCGCCTTCGTGAAGCGGGAACGGGACCTCCAGGGGAGGCTGTCCTCTTTCTTTGGCATGGACAGTCCCCCTCAGCTGCGGGACGAGTTCTGATCCTGGCTAGAGCACATCACCAGTCTGAGCTGGTCCCTCCAGCCAGGTCTGGCAGCCAGAGATGCTCCTAGGATTGATCCCCAAAGGAGCAAGCTCCTCCTCTCTCTCGCCACAGACAGAGAAAAGTACCAGGGACTTCCTGGAGGAGGAAGACAGTCTATCTCCCAGGGCACAGGACTTCCAAGCTCCTATGAGCCAGAGCATTTCCCCTCCTCACGTACTTCCTGCTGTTTCTCCTGGGAATTTTTCACACCAGCAAAGCAGTCCAACCTCTGTCTTTTGGTCTGCCCTGCTCTGAGCAGCCTGGGATGCTGACCTCTCTTCAGAGAGATTTTTTATATAGAGAGAGATTTTTATAGTTTGGATACAAGCTATGACTACCCTAGAACTCTCCCTCATTTAAAAAAATCAGTGAAGTTCATTAACGTAGGTACCTAAAGTGACCTTAACTGAATGTGGATGAGGCAGGGGTGGGGTGGGTATATTGGCCACTTTTCCAGCTGACTCCCAAGGTGACCCTCAGACTTATCCCACTGCCTGGCCAAGCCATTGTCGACCCCCTTCCTAGGCCATCTCCAGGGTTTGGGGCAGGAACAGTCTCCTCCGTTGTAAACACTGTGCCAATGGAAGCTATCAGTCTGGGTGCAGTGCAGGGCTCCACAGGCAGCTAAGTGCTGCCAACAATAGCGTGTTCCCAGCAAGGAGCATACGCCATCAAGCTCGCCATCGTGATATTGCTCTCAGAGTCTCTTGGTAGTTGGTGGCCTGCCACAAACCTGGCACCATCAGGGTCTCATAACACATCAGAAGCCAGGGCTTGCTGGTCTGGTGGGATCCTTCTGAAGGCTGCCGTCTCCTCTTCTGATTTCTGGTTCCAAGGGGCCTGGTTGTAGAATTTTGCCATTGAGTTGGTATCTGAGGCCTGTCCTCCTAGCCTCCCTTCTGTGGCTGGAGCCCTCAGTCCGTGTTCTCACAGGGAGTGCTTGCTAAGCGTCTGACCAGATAGAAGATGCCCAGGAGCCAGGAGCCATCAGAATTCCCAGTTTGGAAGCAACTTTTGCCCCTTCCCATCCAGTGTAATCTCTGCCAACCCCGTGAGGCTTAAGGTGTTACAGTCATAAGTTTCTTTGTCTCTGTCAGATGCTGCATTTGTAATATCCATGACTCCTGAGAATCTGTTATTTTTTTGGCCTTTTGGTTCTAAAATTCAACTCTGACACTGGCTGACCTCTTCCCCGCCCTGTGCCTCGCGTGGCCTTTGATCCTGGACAGGTGGGGGAGACTGACAAGAGCCCGGCCCAGAGCTCCGTGCAGGGCTTCTCCCCTGCTTACCTTTGGGAAGAAATACTTTCATCAGAGCAGACTGGGTCAGAGGTTGCAGGGCTATAAGGACATTAGACACCAAAGGTGGCATTTGCTGCCTAGAACTGCTGCCTAGCTCTTAGCAGAGAAACTGTACAGAAAGAGCTTTTGTATTCTCCCTCCCGGGAGAACAGGACATGTTTTAAATCCTGGGTGGACTCTGACAGATGGTTTGTCTGTTCAGACTTGTTCACGAGCCTCATTCAGAGACGCAGGAGCCCTTGTCCTCCGGCCTCCATCCGATGGTTAGGAAGGTGTGGCTTACTGGCTGGTTTCATTTGCTGGATTCATTTGCTGTCCACAACCTCACACTAGGCACGTGCTTTAGAGCCCGTGGCACTGCTGGGCCATCCAGATCATGATTAGCCTCGGCAGTAATAACAGCTTGTGTTCTGGAGGAGAGGGCGCAGGAGTTGTAGTCAGATCCAGTGTATGATGTAGGCAAGCACTTTATTCCTCTTTGGCCTGGTTTCCTCACCTGTAAAATGGTGATAAAACTGATGGGGTTGTTGAAAGGCTGAGATCAGATAAAGCACGTCTAGGAGCACATTGTATACTTGAAAGAGACAAAGACACCTATGTGGCTGTTGATTAATTTGACTGCCTCTTGTGGCACACCTACCCTGTGCCAGGCACTGTGCTTGTTTAGAGCTTTATGGGTTTGGGACCCGCCCCATCCTTGGGAAGTAGGAACTGTTAATATCCTCTTTCTGCACAAGGAAAAAACTAATGCTCAAAAAATTCTCAGAATTTTGCCAAGGCTGCACAGCTAGTAGTATTAAGCCAGGATTTGACTTCCCAAAGCCAGTGCTATTAGCCACCAGTTTACAGGGATGCACTACTCTGCTCTGCTGCCTCCAGTTTACAGGGATGCACTTCATGCTGTGTGTGCCACAGAGGCTTCCGATGGGAAAATGAGCAGCCAGCTTAGTTCCCATTGAGCTCCTTCTAGGGTTCTGCTCCTGCCAAGAGGTTTTGGGGAGGGTGAGATCACCCAAGAAACAGAAAGCCCACGTGAAGCTACAGCTCTCTTGGGTGGTTAGTTAGGTCAACATTCTTTCATTCACCAGGTATTTATTGATCACCTACTATGTGCCAGGCTCTGTACCAGGTACTAGGGATTCAGCAGAGAATCAGACATAAGGTCTTTGTTCTCAAGGAATTTGTATTCTAGTAAGTAGAAGACACTACAAACAAATGTACCATGGGAGGTGTTGATTAAGCACTATAAAGAAAGATAAAGGGTGTGGGGTGCAGAGGGGAAGCAGTGCTGGTTTAGACAAGGAGCTCAGGTGAGCCTCTCCCAAGAGCTGCTGTGGAGGAGCGAGGGACACACTCATCCAGATGTCTGGAGGCAGCACACTCCCTCACCTCCCCCTCGCAGAGGAAACAGCAGTGCAGAGGTCCTGAAGCTGGAGACGGTGAGTGAAGAATAGCAAGGAGGCCAGTGTGGCTGGATTGGCAGGAGCGAGGCAGTGGGCAGAGCAGTAGATCAGAGCAGGAGAGGTGGTGCGTCCTGCAGCCTGGAGGGCAGTGGTAAGGTCGAGGCTGGGCTTTTATTTGGAAAATATGGGAAGCCTTTGTAGGGTCTGCACAGAGAGGGTCATGGTCTGATTTACATTTTTGAAGCACCTGTCTGGCTGCCACATGGAGAAGAGATGGGAGGGAGGAAGGGTGGAAGCAGGGAGACCAATGCAGGGCTGTTAGACAGATGTAGGGGGGAGAGACACAGTGGGACTCAGGATGGACTCAAGCAAGGATCATTGCATTGAAGATGGTGGGAAGTAGTCAGATTATGGATATATAAAATTATTTTTAAATTTCAACTTTTTTAAAGATATGTCTTTGCATAGTTTTAATCATGCTATGTATAGAATTTAATATCCTGTTTTTCACTTAATAGTATATTTTCCATGTTGGTACATAGCCTGAATAAATGTCTTTAGTGACCTAAAATTCCACTGAGGGCTGTCCCACAGTTTATTGTTGTCCTATTATGAGAATTTAGTATATTGTCAATTTTTCGCTATTATTATTTGAAAATATTTTTATTTGTAAGATTCCTTTCTGTATCTAAAATTTCCATTAAGGTAAATTCCCAGAAGTGGATTTGTTAGATCAAAGACTTAAAAATAAAAACTTTTATTATGGAAAAACTCAAATATACATAAAAATTGTGATTAAAAAAAGGAACTCCCAGTTTCAACAACGCTCAACATTTCACCAGTCTTGTTTCAGTTACCATGCCACCCCCCATGTCTTTTTGCTGGAGTCTTTTATAGAAAATCTAAATACATTTTGAAGGAAGAGCCAACAGGGTTTGCTGACACACTGAATTGGGATAGGAGGGAAAGAGGGAGGTCCAGGATGCTCTGAGGTTTAGGGCCCAAGCAAGAGGGAGAAGGAGTTGTCCCTGTCTTGCAGGTTGACCTTGAGGCAGGTCACCTCACCTCTGCCTCACCTCCGAGTTCCAGATGCTAACGGTGGTCCAGGCAGTGTTTCTCAAAGGTGGTCTCCAGAGTTCCTTGGAGTGCTGGTTGATAAGGCAGATTCTGGGCATCCACCCAGACCTAAGGAATCAGAATGTCTGGTGGATAGTACCCAGAATGAACATCTTAATCACCTACAAGTGATTTTGATGCCCAGTGGCCCGAGACCTACTTAAACTGTGATCCTCAGACCAGAAGCATGGACATCACCTGGGGCAGCTTGTTAGAAATGCAGGCTCCCGGGTCCCACCCAGACCTACTGAATTAGAATACCTGCGGATGTGGCCTAGAAATGTTTTCACAAGCTCTCCAGGAGCTCAAGTTTGAGCAACACTGGTCTGAAGGCTGTGGGGATCATGCACTTTGGTCAGCTGGCAAATGCTTATGGAGGGCCCTGGCAAGCCTCAAATGTTCCACCAAGTGTGGTCAACAGGATGGCTTTAGGAGGTGCCGGGTAGTGCTTAGTTCGTGTTGTAACATTGACTTATTCCTCTTCTTGTGCTTTGGGGAAAATAATACAACTCAATAATCAAACCCTTGATTTAATTTTAATGGATTTCATTGTTTTAGGATGGGACCAATTATATGTACATAAAACAATGAGAATTACATCTTTTAAGAAATTAAGTAACTACCAGTAGAGGTGGGTTGTGGATTAGGCAGAAATGGAGAAGCTGGTGTTCAGCTGGGAAAGGCTGTCCTGATAGAGTATAGATCCTCCAGAAATATGGAAGGGAGTGAGAAGGAAAGAAAGAGGGAAGGAGAGACGAGATAGAAGGAGGAAGAATGAGTTGAGCTCTCATTTCCATGTTCTATTCACTCCAAAGAAGCTTAGCGAATAATAATAATAAGCTTTCTCTGGCCCCGAAATAAGGATCCCTTTCACTCCTCAATTTTCTCTGTATCCTTAGTGGAGTTGACAGAAAAAAACCACAGCCTGAAGGCAAATCCTGCACTCTGGATTATGTTGTCAGAATTAATTCAGATTCTTACTTGAAACCTGATTTATTTCAGGGTTGGGGCCTTTCTCCTGAAATAACATTATTTAAGGGCAAGCAGGTTTGGTTTGTTTTTACATCTAATCCTTTGCTGATCATCAGCGCGGGACGCCAAGCCCAACCAGGTAAACAGCGGGAAGGGAAGGAACAAAAGACTTTTCCCAGAAACCACCTGCTTCCCCACACGGTGACTCAGCAGAAGCTGGGAACAGTGCCCACCCAGGGGTGACAAAGGGGGGGCACCCCATCCCTCTCTGAAAATCCAACTCTCTCAAAAAAACTTGGGCGACACATTGAGCCATTTGATGTTCATTCTCCAGAGCGTGGGGAGTTTCCCCTCCCTGACAGTGGACAAGATGGTTTAGGAGGGAACCAGCGGAAGGAGAGAATTGTCTTTTCAGTGTTTTCTCAGTCCTGCAACAATGCCAAAGAGAAAGTCTCAGTTCGGTGCCAGCATGTCATTCACTTCTCTACCACTTGCTGATAATCTGTCCTAGTAACAGAGAGCAGACAGTGTTAGCTGGCTAGAATTCAGTAACACTGTTTGCTTTCGTTATGTTTATTTTTTAGATACTTTGTATTTTCATTTTCTTATTTACAAATGTGGTTTAAAGCTTCCTTTTAAGAAATGTATTTAGGTTACAAAAAAGTGAGTTGATCAAGAGAAAAATATTAGGTAAGTGGTATGGTGTGGTTTATGAAGATGAAGTTTGGGAGACCCTCACTCAGCCTGGTCTTTTTTTTTTTTTTTTTTTGAGGAAGATTAGCCGTGAACTAACTGCTGCCAATCCTCCTCTTTTTGCTGAGGAAGACTGGCCATGAGCTAGCATCGGTGCCCATCTTCCTCTGCTTTATATGTGGGATGCCTACCACAGCATGGTGTGCCAAGCAGTGCTACATCCACACCCAGGATCCGAACCAGCGAACCCTGGGCCGCCGAGGCAGAACGTGCTCACTTAACCACTGCACCAGCGGGCCGGCCCCTCAGCCTGGTCTTTATGTCACGCCCTGGAGACCCCAGGACAAGACCCATGCGCTGTGGGGGAGGGGCAAGCGTGGAAATGGCAGTAAGAGAGAAATCCTGCTGTCCATACTCCGCTGGTGTTCACATCATCGTGTTATTGTGAAGGCTTTCCCTCGGCTTATATCATATTCATGAATATTTCAGGATCTTAGTCTAAGAAATCTTCCTCTTCTGAGCTCCCATAGCGTGTTGAAATTTGAAACTTTCACCTTGCAAGTGAATAAGCACTTTACAGAAACTATCTCATCTAATTCACAGAATAACCCTATGAGCTTGGTCCTCTCCACTTTACAGATAAGGGCACTGAGGCACAGAAAGCTGAAGCAACTAGCTTAAAGTCACCGAGCTTGTGAGTGGCAGAGCTGGGACTCAAGCCAGGGAAGCATGAGACGAGTCAACGCCCTCAGCCCCTGTGCTGTGCTGCCTCTCAGGTCACTTCTCAGAAGACGTTGGCTTCTTGGTCACCCCAGCCAGACCAGAGCTTCCCCTAGAACAAGACTCATGCCTGAGGTATCTCCCTGTACCGGCGCCTGACCCAGTGCTTGGCTTTAAGAGTGCCCATTGTCTATGAGCTGAATGACTGAATATGCAAGAACGTGAGCTGACTTCGGGCACCGTGGCAGATTCATGGAGCAGGTTGGAGTTGAGATGAATGTGATTTCAACAGGTGGTTATGACAAAGAAGAGAAAGAATTCTGGATGGAGGAAACCGCATGAGCAAAGGTGCAGATAGGGGACTATAATTTGTCTAGTTGGAAATAATTTGACTGGAGTGGAAGAGTTTGGAAAGTTCTTTGGGGTCAGAACATGGTAGGAGGGTTGTGCCTTGAATGCCAGAGTAAAGAACTTGTGTTCCTAGGAGCAATGGGGAGCCAGTGAAGGCTACGATACAAGGGAAGTGACACAATCAGAACTGGGCGTTAGGGCGGTTATTCTGACTGTGGGTTTAAAACAACTGAGGGGAAAGTCTGTAAAGTGAAAACCAGAAAAAGAGCTCAGCTTGTGGGGAGCAGCGAGCAGTGCCGTGTGTGGATCTAGGGAGGCGGAGACCGGAGATGAGGCACCTAGGAAAGTCTGAGCAGTGTGAAGGGCCTGGAATGCCGAAGTAAGAGGTTTGGTCTTTTCCCCTGGGGAGCCAGGGGAAGCTTTTAAACCAAGGGTATTTGATCAGATCTTTATCAGGGCTTGTCTCTGGGTCAAGGGCAAGCAAATGGGGTGAGGGTGGGAGGAGAGATTTTCCAGGGCTCCCCAAGGGGCCACCTAAGCCATCTATGAGTGAAGAGGTCCCTGTAGGACCCCTTAAGGGCAGTGTCAAAAGGCAGAGCTGTGTAAATTATTCAAAAATATTATCGAAAATAAATTCATGCACAAGGTAAAACGTTTTTAAAGTACAAAAGAATATGTTTGTAGAGGGAAAAATCAGTGCCTGCTCCTGGCCCAGAACACTCCCCAAAGACAAACACTGCTAGCAGTTTCTTGTAAGCCTTCCAGAAATTTTTCTTGCCATCTATAAGCATACATCTATGTATAGATATACATCTAAGTATATGTATATCTTTTTTTTAAAAAAAAATCAAAACACAAAATTGTATGTTTGGCTCTTGCTTTTCTCATATAACATACCTTAGAGCTTTTTCTGTATCAGATGTGCAGATCTTTTTCCCTGTTTTTACCCTCTTCATAATGTTCCATAATATGTATGGACCATAATATGTATGTGCATTTAACCTACTGCGAGACATTTAAGTTTGACGTTTTTGGCCATCGCGAACAAAGCTGCCATGAAGAACCTGCAACAGGTGCCATTTCCCACATGTGCAAAGGCATCAGCAGGATATGTTTCTGGCGGTGGAGTTGGTGGGTGTGTGCATTTTTCATTTGATTGGCATGGCTATGCTGAACGAAGTTGTGCCACTTCGTCCTCCCTGGTATAGTGCCTGCTCCCTCACTGTCTGGTTTCATTGGTTTTTAACGTGGCTCTGGGAGAAGCCATTGGTCTTGAGTCTGGACACTTTGATTTCCATCCTGGTACTGCAGTGTGCTGACTATACACAGCCTATGAGACTTGGGTTCGAATCCCAGCTCAGCCACTAATTAATGTGTGACTCAGACAACTTATTAGCCCGTCTGAATCTCAGGTTTTGCATCTGTAAAATGGAAATAATGTCTTCAGTTGAGTCTCACTTTAAAGTCAGGTCCTAAAGTATAAAGACAAAGTTTATTCTCTTTCTACCCTAATTTGTTAAACCCATGTGTGATGTAACTCCATTCTACTTTGCAGGATTGTTGTGAGAATTAAAAAAACCAATATTGCCATAGTACCTGGCACATAGCAGATGCTTGATGATAATTATTTCACAAAACTGCAAAATCTCTCCGAGACTCAGTTTCTTCCACTATGAACCTGCAGTTGGCGTGGGCCTGCCAGGGAGATTCCAAAGTGCATGAAAACATTTTGCAACTGTTAGGAGGGCCCCGGATATGGGGGTTGAGTTTTATTTCGGTTCTGGCAGCCCTGCTAGGCACTGCCTGCTAGAAGCTTCCTTTCCTTCTCTCCTTGGCTTTTCGGTGTTGTGTTTGCTCATGGCAAGACCATCTTCTCTCAGCCGTTGCCGGAGAGCAAACAGGAACCCTGAACACTCAGCCTGCTGGGGAGATGGGCCTCCGGGAGAGACCCCCTCCTGTCTCTGGAGGATTAGGCTTCTGAGGAGCGGGGCCTGGAGGGAGCCAAGGACCCAGGCCTCGCAGGCCAGCGGTGTGCAGGCAGAGGCGGGGAATTGCCTCTTTGTGGCAGGAAAGGCCCTGGCCCTCTCTGAACTGCTGTCTCCACTTCAGCTGTAAAATGAGGGCTTTGGAGAGGGTGACCTTTGTAAAGGGCACTAGGTTTGGAGTCCAAAGCCTTGGGCATAAGGGCTAGCTTTAACATTAATCCAGTGTGTAATCACTGTGACTTAGTGTCCACATTTGTAAAATGGGAATACAAGTTAAACCATTGAACCCTTATGGATTGAGTCCCTCCTCCCATGGAGCTTGCTTTCTAGTGGGGGAGAAACAGAGAAGGAACCAAAAAATGTATAATGAGTGAGGAGGCGATGAAAACTGTGAAGGAGAATGAAACAGGGTAAAGAGAAGGACAGCGACTGGGGCGGTCAGGGAAGGCCTCTGTGTCCTGGTGACATTTGAGGGGAGCCCTGAAGGAAGTGAGAGAGTGAGCTGTTTGGCTATCTGGGGAGTAATGTTCCAGGCAGAAGGAACAGCAAGTGCAGGAGGCCTGGAGTGGAGGTCAGCCTGGTGTGTTTGAGGGGCAGGGAGAAGGGGTAGGGGGTAAGGGATGAGAGGGAGCAAGAGCCAGATCAGAGTGGGCCAGGCCTCTGGCTTCTCCGTGAGTGATGTGAGAAGTCACTGGGAGGACTTAAGCAGGTGTGACATGATGTGACTCAGGTTTTATATTATCTATATCTTGGCAGTATAGCTGTCTATTACTCCACAACAAGTAACCTTAAAACGTATTCTCTTAAAGGAACAATAATCACGTATGATCTCTCACAGCTTTCGTGTGGGTCAGTAGTTTGGGAGCAGCTTGACTGAATGGTCTCTTGCAAGGTTGTAGTCAGATGTTGGCCAGGGCTGCGCTCATCTGAAGGCCTGACTGTGGCTGGAGGCTCCATTTCCAAGGTGGCTCACTCATATGGCTGGCAAGTTGGGGTTGGCTGTTGGTGGGAGGCCACAGCTTCTCTCCACAGGCTTGCTTGGATGTCTTCACAACCTTGTGGCTGGCTTCCCTCACAGTGAATGATTCAAGAGACCCAGGCAGAAGCTGCAATGTCTTTATGACCCAACATCAGGAGTCATGCACCATCACTTCTGCCATTTTTGTTGGTCACACAAGCCCTATTCAAGGAGTCAGGGGACCACACAAGGCATAAGCACAAGGAATTGAGGACCACTGTGGGCCATCTTGGAGCCTGACTTCCACAAGTTTTTTGTTTGTTTTAATCACCAGAGTAAAATTTACTTTTTTGGGGGTGTACAGTTCTATGAATTTTAGCACATGTGTAGATTTGCGTAACCACCACCACAAACAGGATGCAGAGCAGTTCCATGACCCCTCAAAAACCCTCGTGTTTCCCTTTGTAGTGACGCAGCCTCTCCACCCTTAACCTGTGGTAACTGCTCATCTGTCATTCAAGTTTCATCTTTTTGAGAATGTCGTATACATGGAATCATGCAGTATGTCACCTTTTGCAATTGGCCTCTTTCACTCAGAGTAATGCCATTGAGCCTGCTATAGGTTGTTGCAGGTCTCGGGTGTTCGTTCCTTCCCGTTGCTGAGCTGTGTTCCCCTGTGTGGATGTCCCACAGTCGGTTCCCTGATTTACCCAGTGAGGGGTGACTTCCAATCTCGGGGGGTTACGACTATTGTGCCATAAGCAGTGGTGCACCATGCTCGTTCTCCCGTCCCTCTGTTCCTCTGCTCTCATGTATGTTCAATATGATGCCCCAGCCCCCTTAGACCTGTTTATCCTTTCAATCTTTTTCTCTCTGTTGTTCAGATTGGGCAATTTCTGTTGCTCTATCCTCAGGTTCACAGATTCTTTCCTGGGACATCTCCATTCTACTATTTAGCTCATCCATTGAGGTTTTTTTTTTTAAGATTTTATTTTTCCTTTATCTCCCAAAGCCCCCCCGGTACATAGTTGTGTATTTTTAGGTGCGGGTCCTTCTACTTATGGCATGTGGGATGCCACCTCAGCGTGGCCTGATGAGCGGTGCCATGTCTGCGCCCAGGATTTGAACCGGTGAAACCCTGGGCCACCACAATAGAGCGTTCGAACTTAACCACTCAGCCACGGGGCCGGCACCTGAGTTTTTTATTTCAGTTATTGTATTTTTCAGTTCCAAAATTTCCCTTTGAAGAAGATATATATATTTCTTCTATTTATGAAAAAGTTGAAGAAAGCTCAGAATCTTTATCCTTACTACTTGGAGTATTTTTTTAAAATTGTGGTAAAACATGCATAACATAAAATTTACCATTTTAGGCAATTTTAAATATACAGTTCAGGGGCATTAAGTACGTTCACACTGTTGTGCAGCCATCACCACTTATCCAGCTCCAGAACTTTTTCGTCTTTTCAAATAAAACTCCATACCCATTAAATACTAACTCCCCATTCTCTCCTTGGAGCATCTTCATAACAGCTGCTTTAAGGTCTTTTTCAGATCATTCCAACATCTTGGTGTGGGCGTCTTTTCGTTATCTTTTCCCATGTGAGTTGAGATTTTCCTTTGTATTGTGAGTAATTTGTCCTGGAGTTTCTTTTTTTTTTTTTTTTTTAATATTGGCACTGAGCTAACATCTGCTGCCAATCTTTTGTTTTTTCTTCTTCTTCTCCCCAAAGCCCCCCAGTATATAGTTGTATATTGTTGTTGTAGGTCCTTCTGGCTCTGCTATGTGGGACACTGCATCAGCATGGCTTGATGAGCGGTGCCATGTCCCCGCCCAGGATCCAAACCGGCAAAACCCTGGGCTGCCAAAGTGTAGCATGCGAACTTAACCACTCGGCCACGTGGTCGGCCCCGTCCTGGACATTTTGAATATTGTGTTATGAGCTCTGGTTCTTATTTAAATCCCATGGAGAATATTGATGTTTTTGTCTTAGCAGGCAATTGGCAAAGTGGGTTCAGGCTGCAAACTCCACCTGCCTTCTGTGGGTGTGGTT